GCAGCAGCAGCAGCAGCAGCAGCAACAACAACAGCAGCAGCAGCAGCAGCAACAGCAGACCCAGCAACAGCAGCAACGATCTCGCGGCTTCGGGTTCTTCCATAGACGGGCGCGCCAGCCTCAAGAGCAACAGCAAGCGCAGCAAATCGATCAAATGTTTACAGAGCACGGCATGCAACCGGATTTCGGAAGCTTTTTCGGGTCCGGTAGAGGAGGGTTCCAAGGAATGTAAGGGTTCTCGACATGATACCCCTTGGGTGTTTTCATCATTGTTTTCATGTTTTTGGGATATCTTTACTAGGAGTCCAGACACGGAGTTTTTCATGTACAGGATATTGAAAATGTCCAACTTGCGATGCAAACCCGCATCTCGGAAAGTCTTTCCCTTGAAACTATTTTTCATTGTTGTATTTTGGGGAGTACTTGGGCAATATTTGTTCCCTGGAGTTGAAAGAAGGAGACGAAAGATTCATTTTTGTCATTATCTTGTCCCTGCTTTTAGGTCTGCTTTTCTTGTCATTTCTTTTACATTTGTTTCTTCTCGGGAGCATAAGGGCGCGGAAAGCGATACATGGGCCACGAAAGCCACGTTTTTTTATTCTTCATCAGTCATTCATCCTTTGGGGTTTGCGGGGAGTGAAGGGGGAGGGAGTGGTGGTTGTATACAGGGTGACACGTGGGTAGGAAGGAGTACAGTACCTGGGCAGTTGTCGGTACTGGGTATATATGTTGATATACAATTGTTACAAAAATTCTTGTTGATGATTTTGCACAGTGGATGTGGTGCGACAAAGCATGATGGAAGGATGAGGTCAATGAAGCAGGGTGCTCGGCGATATCAGGGTGGCACCGATGAGTGCAATTGCTAGATTCTTGATTTTGCCCTGTATAATGACGAGGCTTGCATCTGGCTCTGCGCATGGAACCGGGTTCCTCTGGGCCTTGGGAGCCGGCATCGGTGTCCTGAAAGGTTGGTGGCTGCATATATGCGCTCACCATATTGTCAGCCCACCAGTTGCCGTCACGATGCGCTGAAATTGTCAAGCTTTCCCACGCACGCTATCGAAAAAGCAGGGGGTCGCTACTATCGAAACTTGTAATAATAAGAGGAACGAGAGAGACGGGAGAAACGGGGTAACTAACTATCTATAGCTTGGAAGCTGGGGCTCACTAGTGGAAACGTGCTCAAGCTGGACCATGGTGACTAGCATTGCTCATCTTTGAAGCGTACATAGACGGACGCTAGCAGCCCTGTTTTCCTTGGTATTACTTCAATTAGTTAGCCAGTGTGACATGGTGTGTAGTACTGAGGGAGGAAGGCCGCGGACAATTTGATATGCAGTGCACAACTCTCATCATAACCACCCAATATGTCGAATGGTAGTGTAATTTCCGACCAAGCCTGTAGACGTGACTGACCGAAGGCTACTGAAGCAAAGAGGCGCCGATAAAATGGTGCTATTAATCTAAAGCTAATGTGACAGGATAACTACATCAGTACCCGGCAACGAGGGGGTATAAGCGCGTCGCTGCAGAATACCTCGACACAGCGAGAGACAAATGAAACCACCTCGTACTATTTGCCCACTGAGCCGGAACGAACAAGAATGCAAACAGGAGTTTTTTTTATGCGAGTGTGTGTGTGTATCAGCGCGGGCACATGGACCGCTTAGACCATCATGGCAGCGACGCCGACAGCGACGGCGGCAACACCGGCACCGGCACGGGCGGCGTTGGTCGGGGCAGCGGCCTTGCTGGTGGACGTCTTGCTGGCAGAGCTGGCAGAGCTCGCGGAGCTGGCCGAGCTCTTGGAGGCGGAGGAGGCGGAGGAGGCGGCCGAGGAGGCAGAGGACTTGGCGCTGCTGGTGGAGGAGGCGACGGCGGAGGAGGAGCGGCTGGTGGTGGAACTGTTTTGGGTGGATTTTGTTAGGATGTATTCTCGACAAGATGGTGCAGCTTCTCAAGACGAGACTGGAAGGAAACAGGACGCACGTGACGGTCTGGCCAACAACGCTGGTGGCAGCGGCGGCGAGGAGGACAACGGAGAACTTCATGTTGAAAGGTTGGGTTGGGTTGGGTTGGTGATGAAGGTGAGGTGGAAGCAGACAAGCCGGAAGCGAGAGTGTTTGGTATTTATAACCCGTGAGTGAAGAGAGCGATGGTGTGTTGAGATGATGTGACTGAGGAGGAGGAAAAGGCAACAGATGGCGTGCTGTTTAAGTAGATGCCGACAGGTCCCAAGAACAAGATTTCGTGTTAGTCGGCTCTCGAGCCGACATGACCTCCCACCCCCCGCGGGCCAAGCAAACATTGAGTTTTTTCTTGCCTGCTCCATCAGCCGTTCGGGTTATTGAAAATCAGGCCCCAAAAACACCAAATCCAAGGCGTCGAGACCGTTCCCAAGGCGTCTGCTGGTGTGGAGAGGCTTGCGCAAGCCTCCGCGATTCGGACGAATGATGCCGGGGGGGGACTTTTGCAAAAGAGAGTGGCACACACCCCCCCTTGCAGTCAGCGGACTATTCGCTGCGGAATGGTACGAGCTTTTGGATTATTGGAATAGCCTTGCATGTACCCTTTTGACTTTGTCCGGTTGGTGGTGGTGGTGGTGGTAGTGGTAGCTCCACGGGCTGCGTCAGGTGAGACAGGGAAGGATGAGGAGGAGATTTGGACAAGGAAGGGAAAATCGAGATGAGGGAGTCCGTGCCAGGATCCGTAGTGAGGATGAATGGCTCCAAGGACCGTGTTCATGTAACATGCCCCCCAAGAAGGCAGGCAAGAGGGCTGCGCCATGTCTTGAACGGGATGGTGGCTGGCAAAGACTTACGCAATGCAATATCTGGATGAGCTGTGAGGGCGTGGGCCGCAAGACAATGTCACGATGCAAACTTGCCTAGGAGACTAGTTAGCTCGGTGAAGAGTGTGGAATGCTTTCTCGTCCATCAAAGGCTTTTTAAGCTTATTCGTTTCTTTGCGATGGTAGGGCTGTCGTCGTCACACGTTGTAGGAGTACTTGTCCCGGCAATCCAGTCTCGCCGTGCAGAGGGGTGAAAATGGAATACGAAGACACACACACAGCCCTAGCAGCAGGGCTGGGTTGTCATACTATTCACGTTCACGTTAGCGATGTACAGAGTACAAATCCGTACCAAGTAGTAATCTGCAACGCTGCCCACGGAGCCGAGCCCCAAAACCCACCCCCCCTGGCGACAATCATCATCCGATGGAGCGAAAAACAAGCCTTTTAGGGCGGGTTGGCGCTAGGCCAACAAGGAAATGGAGCATTTGTTGATCCCCCGTCGTGCGGTAAAAACGGGACGGAGATTTGCAAGTGATTTTTCCAGTCGTAACGAACATGAAGGAGGCGGGGGGGGGAGAACGAGCCGAATCCACGCAGCCAAGCCACCCACGCATACGCATGCCTCCCCCCCTAGTCGGCAGATGCTGATACGGATATTGGGGCACTATAATGAAATAGGCAAGAGAAAAAGGGAACAAAAAGTGCACAAGAACAAGAAAAAGAGGAAAGGAAAACAGAACCCTCTTTGCCCTAATAAGGTTTGTTCTCTAGTTCTCTAGCAAGACTATCAGTAGGAAACAGGAAACTAGCGATTTCTTTTCAGCCCACCTGAAGACTGAGGGGAAATGGGCCAGACGTAAGGTGGCGGTGGAATCAGCACATGGGCGATCTGCATCCGGTCCACGTGCGTGTAGTGCAGTTGGAGAGGAACAAGAGTAAAAAAGAGGAAAGGTGTCGTGGACAAGAAAACCGGTGCAGAGGAGTTGAGGAAGAAAAAAACCGCTCCATTCGAGCATGACTGCGCGCGCTGACAGGGTTTACGGCAGACGACGGGCCGTTCGCCTATTCTGGCCAGGATTTACACTGCACTAACCAAGGACAACAAACAGAATGGCTGGAACAACAAGTGAAACCGATCGGCAACCAAACACCACTTGTCTGACGAGGTCCAAAGGCCATGCTGTTTCATTGTTGCTTTATTTTGCGACTTCAACCGGTTCGCAAGCCGTTGGAGGGCTCCACGTGCGTTTGCGCGTTTGCCTTTCCTCGGCGTAACGCTTTGCTAGGCGCGCCGTCATTCTCAAATGCGGCGCATCGCTGCACGCCATAAAAAGGACCAAGCTCTTGTGTATTGAGATGGAAACACAATTGCAGCGCACTGAGCCTTTTCGTCGTCATCCAGAAATGTGACTGACGTGGGTAGGCGCCGCACTACTTCCCCGGGCTAATGCAAACTTGGGGCGGAGAGAATTCAAAGCGACCGTGGCGCGCTGCCAGAGAGAAAGCATTCACCGACGTCAATGAACCCAGATCCGACCCAGCAAGAAATAGTCTGCGCCCGAGAACGTGGGCGTCTTCACAAGCTGCCTTGAGGGTATGCGGCGCGGGGCTGCGTTCGCCTCGATAAGGGAGACTATGGCGATCCATTACCGGCATCTCGAATGCTAGGTTCGATATAGTCAGATCTGTCGTGGTATTTTAGTCGTCAGTGCTTTCGCCCAAAGAAACACTCACCACTGCGACAGACTCCATGATGGTGGAGGAAACGAACGGCACTGGCCACTTGCTGCCACAACCCATGTCGTGTCGTGCTGGGCAGCGCAACCAACACTGCGAATTTTTTCTTGAAGAAGAAATCGGATACCGAAACAGAGACAAGAGTGCTCGCCGTTGGATCCGGAGATCTTGAAAGAGTCTTGCAACTGCACGAAGTTTTGACCATGGGGGACCGACGGCCCGCAGGTGCTCGACGACGGTCCGCTCGCCACCATCTGCCGTGTCCGTCGCGGAAGCGCACATCATCTTGAGACCAAATTACGACGAGCATGGGACCGACGAGAGAACCAGACAGGCCGTTGAACTCGATGATGGATGAGGTCTTGACCAAAGAGTCGAGTTGGATGACGAAGCCAAGGTCGCGATGCGCCTTGGCCAGGTGGAGTGATGGTCTTGGTCTGGCCAGGTCCGTGGCAGCAACACAGCACAAGGCTATCGCTCTATTGACGCGACATCACTCTGTAGGTCTATCGAATCCTGAACGTTGGAACGAGACAATCCGACTTGTTTCTGTGAGGTGGTCAGACGAGACGGGCTTCACCTGAGGCTAGTCAGGCTACTTACTATAGGGCGTCCGAGTGCGTCCTCAAACTCAACAGCACTGCTAGTTATCTGTCCTTGCAAAACACCATGACTTTGGCAACAAGGTACTTCTTATTCAAGGTCATCATTCCCTGTCGTGCCACTTGTGAGGAAAGGGAGAGCCATTACTTTTGGTATGTATTCTTGTTGTAGTAAGAAACATGACGGTTGTTTTTGTTTCTGTTGTGATTGTTCTACATATTTCATCTAATCGCGTTCCCTTCTCTCTCCCTCGCTGCTTCTTCTCTCCGAATCTGCTAGTCGGTTTGGGTATGGTTTCGCTCAAGAGATCGATATTCACGTGACACAGGTATGGGCATTGATATAGAAAAGAAAACAACAAAAACAAAGAAATGGACAAACACTTTTACGAGCGCCGAGTCTTTTCCCTTCCCAATAAAAGACTACGTCATGTGACAAATCAGGATGTGAGGAGTCCTTGGGAGGCTGCCCAGTCAGGTCGGAAATATTGCACATGCAAGGCACAGAGAGGCAAATAAACTTCCGAGTAAGCATACTCGAGCTATATTAGGCTGATAACTTTAAAGAAACAAAACCCCATCCTCCCAGCTCACTTATAGGCTCGATTTAGGCCCCCAACTGCTCGGATGCTCAGTCGTCCGGCTGCGCGTCTTGGCGCCAAGCGTCCATCTCCCGGCTCATCACCTCTCCGCCTCCACATCTTGGCGCCGAGAGTCAAGGCGGGTATAAACTTGCCGCCCCTGCCTTGCGGCTCGAGTTGTGTTTTTACTAATTTGTACCGAGTATCTTGTTCTGACGCGCAAAAAAGGATCATGTTGTACAATTCCTTTGCGCGGGGCTAACACTTATTCGCGGGCGGATGTCGTCTCCGTGACCCAATTGCCGAGGCTCTGTCTCTTTGGCACTTTGTCTAGCAGTGACATCTGGCGACGCGCTCGCGATATGTTGACGTAGTTTCTCTTGGCGTGGCGCTTTTAGCGATCTGGGCAAAAGCCTTGACATGGATGGCGCGAGATCCAAGGCAGTTAGAGAGCACGCCCCAAGTCAACTCAGCCGCCTCAAGCGCCTTGGCTGATGGTTTTCTGACTCGTATCGAGGCCTATTGCACTCGAAATTAGGCCAAACAAGGTGAGTGAGTTGGCTCACCTCGGCCATGGTTTACTGGTTGATGAGCAAGTGGCAATTATAGATGCCAATTGACTATAAATGAGCACTTGTCCGGCCGTCTTCTGTGCCAACTTGACAACACATCAACACTTTCCAATTTTCCTCTCCATTCTTACGTCCTGTCTACTCAACCAAAACACTCGTTACTTCTTGCAATGATGAAAGCCGTCTTCTGCGCCCTCGGACTGTTGACCGCCGCACAGGCAGTCGCGGTCCCGAGCGAGCACGCCAACCTGGCCGTCCGACACGACGACAACAAAAAGGCGAGCAGCCCCTTTACCTTTACCTCGACCTTCAACGTCATCGCCAAGCCGGAGAACGTCGTCGACGCCCAGAACAACTTCACCGGCGGCCTGCAGGGAAGCAGCGGCACGTTCAACTTTGGCATCAACTCCAACGACAATGTGATTTGCTACAACATCACCATCACCGGCTTCCGCGGCGACTACCAGTCTCCGGCCAAGTCGGCCACGCATATCCACGAAGCCGCCGTGGGCAAGTCTGGCCCGCCTCGGTATGAACCCTCCCCTGCCACCCCCTTACTTGTGCGCTTGTGAAAAGCCTTTGGGGGTCTTTTGTCGCTACGCTAACGGAGTCGTGCGCATCATAGTATTGCCTTTCCGAACCCGGTCGGCTCTGGCGAGGGTCCGCGCCGAAGCATCGGCTGCCTTACCGGACCCTTTGTGACTGGCGTCAACGCGAGCAACAAGGACACTGGTGACGGCTTCCACGTCCGCCAGATTGAACAAAACCCCGCCATGTTCTTTGCGGATGTCCACTCCAGCCTCGCTGTTCCCGGAGCTATCCGTGGCCAGCTGGGTGAGAAGAACTATTGCTAGAGAGCCTTGGAGCTTATCGCTCTTTTTCTCGCGGACACGCTCGGCAAATAGATGGGGTTCAACATGACATTCTGCTACTATAGTGTCTAATAGATATACGCTCTAATACTTAATTTATTTACACCGATGCTTCATATGAGACTGACCGGCCTTGATTCTCTAATGAGAGCCACGAGAGTAGCCTGCGTGATGAATCGACAGAAAAGAGCTAAAAAGGGGAGAAAATTAATATGTTTCTCAGTAAATACGCAAAACTGCCGATATCATGTCCTAAGAACACTTGGCTAAAAAATTCCTTGGGCGCTGATTCATCATGTGTACTCCCATAGATGCAAGAGCCTTCTTTCTTTACCCATTGCCCAACCAACATGGTACGACGCCTTGGCTACTCAAGCGCGTGGTGACCCTCGAGTATTACACGCAATCTCGCGGTACTTGCAACACACGGCGAGGCTTGGCGGGACGGGGTGAATTTCGGAAGTCGCTTCTAGCTTAAACCCGTTTCTGCAGTCTAGGGCACAGTCTCCCTTCCCTCAATTGCATCCCATGTTGGTTTCGGCAGCAACATGGAGACGGAGCCCGCGTATCGTCCCGCTGCAGTCTTCTCAGCTACATACTTGCGAGCAAGTGGCTCAATGATGCGCCAGTCCAGCTGCGCCGTCCCGACCGCGCCGCCGTCCTTCTGTATCCTGGCCAGGGCATCAGAAATCCACGTGCGACACCGCCAGTTCGCGTCGCCCTGGACGACTGGTGTTTCCCGAAAGATTTGCACGAGTCGCTCATCATCCTCGATCTTGGCAATCAGGATGCGGGCAAGGAGACTGACGGTGCCCCGCACGTTGGGCAAGTCCATTTCCTCATATATCCAGTTATGAAAGGGATTGTTCTTGACGTGGAAACGCCTGCCAGAGACTTTGGGCTTGTTCTCGATCTTTGGTCCAACGAGAAAGCCCCAATGGTATCTGTGGAATTGCCATGAGTACAAGTCAAGTTGGGGGGGAACAGGGGTCTTAATACCTCCGTTCCTCGTTACCGGTGATTCCGCTAGGGTACAGAGCAATGTACAGTCGATTCTTTTTAGAAACCATTGCGTGCTATTTTTTGCCCCAGGAGGGCAGAGCGGATTTCTTTCTGGGCAGAGGAATGAGGCAGGGCAAAACGGTGGCTTACCAAACAGTTTTTGAGCGGTACCTGTCCTTCGTTTTATGCCTTTTTCCTTCCTGCGGATCCTGGGAGCAAAATCTTGTAAGCGCTTTGCTAAAAATATCTCGTGATAGATTGGACGTTGTTATTCGCGGGCCTGAGATGGTGGGTCTAATTGGCGACCAGCGCTGCTGCATTGGCAGAAGATCTCCATGATGCAGGTATGTACATACATGAAACCTCATATCATTAAGTACATAAGAATTGTAAAATCATAAAAAATGGCGTTTAATTCACCTATGCCTGTTGCATCTCTCGAGTGTTCTACTTATCTTATCGTCCAAGTCGACGTCTAACATCTACCCCAGCCACCCTCAAGTACGGCGGTGTGGTTGACGTTAGTCAAGGTCGTATAGAAGTCGCTCCTATCTCTGTACGAGAACACCGGCGTCTTTGAGCAGTTCAATAGTTTCTGCCGTCCACTCTTGGCATCGACGTAATGGGGTGCCTGGATAGAGGAGTTGCCCATCTTGCATCTGCATAATAGGCGCTTGATTGCTTCGGCAGATCTCATCCATGCGCGGCAAATCATGGCTGGAGATGCAGCCAATCTGTGTCATCCGGACAAAGGTCATCAGTTCTTTGGGGGAGCTGTGCGTTGGCCTTGGGTCGTAGTGCATCGCACCGTTGTTGACAGGGCCGACAACGTGGTAAAGAAAACCTGCGCCGGCATCGGACGTTTGTGCCCAGAGTGCGTGATGGTTACGGGGCTCTCCATAGTCCTCAACGAGGAAGACTGGATAATAAGACATGGTAAAAAAAACGTAATGAGACGAGGTTTTCAGCGGTGTCTGAATCAGGTCGGTGATGTCCAGTTTTTTGAAGTCACCCAACGAAAAGTGGCCTTTGACGGTGGCTGGCGCCAGCCACCAAAATTTGTGCTGGAGTTGAAGTAATAGTAATAAATCGCAGATAAAACCTCATATGACAAGTTACACACATTTTAAAATTAAAGAATGACAGCACGGCAGCCTGAGCTCAAGGAATATTGCATCCTGCTGTACGAATGTGCGGAGGCTTGCAGGCTTAACAGCCAGTTTCTGCCCCTCCTCGTCTGGATTACTTGGTTGTGCTGGGAGTAATGCTGACATTTACAATGATATACGTTATAAAACGCTATAAAAGACATTAATACTCATCCCTATACTTACGACGAAAGCTGTTATAATGACGATAATTACTAGGCCATACTTTCTGTTCGGAGAGCAGCTGTGAAATGGCAGCTGGCCCGCCGAATGCCCGAATGCGACGACTGGGGGCTGGGCTTGATGTTACCGGAATTTTTGTCCAGGCCTTGTCATCTTCCCTCGCCGAAACACACTGCCACTCGACTATGTACACTCAAGCGAATCCTCATGATACAGATTGCTACGAGCACAGTCCGTGGCTCCGCAAAACCTCCCCAAGGACGCGCGCTGCTTCCAACGGCTCTTTCAAGCTAATCGAGGTATGCAGTATCTCTACTGCCTCGCAATGACTCGACTCCGCTGGCTTTTCCCATTTCTCTAGGAAAGCGGATGGTATACATGCCTTGTAAAACAAAAGCTCTCGCGGCCTCATCCCAGGCACGCCAATTGCATATACTGTCGCCCCGACTGCCACGTCTGCACCTGATACGGAAGCTTGCAACGCCACTCGCTGCTGCTGTGCCAGCCCAATCAACAGTCCGGCGATGTACGAATCTTCCCTCTCAAGGCCGGAAACTGGTTGAACCAGCCGCAGCTTTTTCCGTCTAAGCTGTATCGCTGCTGCATTCGGCACCAGGGGTCGTACTGGGGTTCTCTTCTCAATCATTTTTTTTCGCGCTGATTGAAACGTCGCGAAATTAACGTATAGTATTCGTGGTATCCCGTCCTTAGTCCTGAAGACGGCATCCGTCGCCATCACAGCAACCTTCCGCGTATCCAAGTAGAGGGCAATCTCATTCAGCCTGTAGATATAGCGTCAGTGGTAGTTTGCATAACTTGCCTGCTTTCCTGTTGGAAAACTTGCCCTAGGGACGACAGGCCATGGCACTCGAGCAATTCAGTTATCCCATCTTCTTGCACTCCCGCATGCTCAGTCTGGATTTTATTCTTGATGAAATACTCAGCTAGCTTCATATTGTCTTGCTCTGCTTTGTCACTGTCGGCGGGAACAATGTTCGAGCGGTCATATTGTCCCGCGTTCATCACCTGTCGGTAAGTGAAAGAGATACCTAAAGCTCCAAGTGAAGCTTAGTCCAGATAATTGGTAACACATAGAGGCGTTTCCTATGATGCTGTCGTATTAGCCCGCGAAGGGATCCCTCTGCTGGCCGGCGGTCGTGTGCTGTGAGTCGTCGTTGGTCCTTGCCGACACAGTGCCGTTTCGAACCAGAGATGTCCCTTGCGGTCGGGGTTTTCCTTTTGGCCGATTGTAGTTCGGCCGCAGTGCATAACGTATTCCATCGCGCGACAGCCTGCCCAGATACCATCGTTGATGCGGTCATGGTGGTCATGCTGGAGTGTGGATGTACGAAGAGTGTGGCGCACTGGTATACCGGTGGTAACCCTGTAGCCCTGTGGCCCCTGTGGCCGATGTTATGCCTCCTTACCACACCAGCGTGAACTTGCAGCCAGCCAACTGCAATTCCCAACTGCAATTCCCAACTGCAATTCCCAACTGCAATTCCCAACTGCAATTCCCAACTGCAATCCCCCCCTTCTTGCTATCGTCGAATATGCAGCAACCATCACTCCTACTGCTGCCCTGTTGAGAAACAACGCATATACCCACATATTCAAGCCCTTCGAAATGGTATCTTCGTTACCTTTATCAATTCCGCAGCCCGCATCGGCACTGCAATACGACATCCTTTTCCGCGAGCCTGATGACAGCCTCCCCGAGCCCTTGCCCTCGGTAGAAACGATCGAGGATGCACGAATCAACGATTCATATGCGGCAAGGAGCATCGCTTGTGTTGGAACCTCCTACTTCGTCAAGTATGGTTATGGAGTGGAACCGCTCGAGGCCGAAAACATGAAGTTTGTCCGCCAATATACCAACATACATGTTCCACGGGTCTACGCCGTTTACCGGCGCTCTATCAGGGAAGGAGGCCAAAAAACATACATCATTATGGAGAAGATCGAAGGCGAGTCGCTCGAGAAGCTGTGGGATGAATTCGACACCACACAAAAATTGAGTATCACCCGGCAGCTCAAAGAGTCTTTCATTTCCTTGCGCGACCTGCCTCATCATGGATATTTTGGCAGTCTAGACAAGACTAAGCTGCGGGATTTTTTATTTGCCGCCGACGAACCCATGCCATCCATCGACGCGCCATTTGACACAGAAGAGGCCCTACTCGACGGCTTGATGGATAGATTTTTAGCAGAAGATCCTGACAGGCTGCGGCACAAAGCCTCATATTACCGACTTGTGCTTCCACAAGCGTTCAAGGGCGACAACCAGCCTGTTTTTACTCATGGTGACTTGCAACCGAAGAATATCATCATTAAGCCAGATGGATGTATTGCCATTGTCGACTGGGCAACGTCGGGATGGTACCCAGTGTATTGGGAGTACGCAATCGCTGTTTGCACACATAGGGGTTGGTCAAACGATTGGCCTGCACATATTGGTCTTTTTCTGGACGAATATCCCAATCACTTCGCCTGGATGAGCCGCCTGCGGATGGATAGATGGTATTAGCATTCTACTTCACACCATTGAGTCTGAGGATTGCATGTCAGCCACGCCTATCAGTCCGATATGGCCACCACTCATTCTTCTCGCAGGCATGTTTACTTTACAAGGTATGATTGTGTCCGATTCTTAACTTGTTATCTCGTAGGCTCTCCAAATATCAACAAATCACGAAACTTTTAGTTTGAGCGAGCACGCAGCTCGACAAGCATATTTCCTCTTCCCCTCATCCTTCGCATTCTCGCCGCCCGTGACGTATTCAAACCAACTCTACCTTTGCACCAGCGGGCACTCTTTGTAGTATCCAGGAAGTGGGAAAAATCGTGCCAAAAGTCTCCTTCTCTCCAATCACCATGCTGTACGCCGTCTGCGTATACTCGAGAATGCGCTGCGATAGTTTCGGCGCGATGAACTCGGAGACCGCGTGCAGGTTGAAAAGCGCCCATGGCACCCTGTCATCAGCCAGACCCCATTTCTTAATCTCGAACTGGGAACTCAGCGGCCCGGCGGCGTCTCTGGTCCAAAGCGGCCAGACAACCGTGATCTCGTACCCAAGGGCCTTGAGCCCTTCGAGGAGCATGTCTGCGGACTTGACAGCATCGCATCGCTCTGCATGCTCCATTGCCACTGAAAAGCAGGGCGTAAACAGCTCAAGACGCGGTACCGAGGCGGGGTACGAGGCAGGGTACGTCCCCTTTACCCTGGAGATAAGTCGAGCCCCTTGGGCAAGCGACATCGTGTCTGGCGTGGTAAGGATACTCCGAAGGCTCTTTATGTACCCTTTACGCTTCTCCAGCTGCTGCTCGGGCGTTGTGCGTCTTGCCTCGCAGAGCGCGCAGTCGCAGGTGAACCCCCAGAACTTAGGGCCGCTCTGAACGTCTTCGTACGAGTCCAGTTCTTGAGCTGCACGATAGGCAAAAAGGAGCTCCGTGCCTGCCTCCAAATCTCTGGTCGCACGCACAATTTGCATGTCACCGATGAACGAGCGACGACAGTTGCCAATGCAAGAATGGTTCACATACGATGCCTTGATCCATACGCCGGCAGTGCTGAAGCCGCTGTGTTCCTGCTCTGGCCTCTGTTCATTCTTCATTGACTTGGAAAGCACTTCAAAAGTTGTTCTCGGCGCCCCGAAACAGTTGAGCGTCATGATCTTGGATGCAAGAAAACTGTTTCTAGAATTAGTGTGCAACACAACCCCAATTTGAGCATTGCGTGACTTACGAATCAACGATGGGATGTCCATCTGCATGGTCTCGGCTAACCGGCTTGTAGTCTCCGCGGTGAAGGTCCAAAAATGAGCGCGAGTATTCCGGGTTGTGATACAGGTTCTGTATGATTTGCGTGAGAATCTCGACCTGGCCTCCAGCAGAACAGCGCTTGCTCTCGAGGTCCATCAGGATGGAGCAGCGACCAGGGCTTAGGTCGCATTGATGGTACGCAAACGCCTTTTCGCAAAGCAAAAGATCACCTGCCTGGACTGCCTTGACAGTGAACAGTCCTCGTCCTCGCCCAGGGGCTTCTCGAACCTCGACGGGCTCGGAAAACGTGGCACAGTCAATCAAAGCGGAACTCGCCTTGGCTTGCTTGTACATGCGTGAGAATGAATAGGCTCCATAGAGTTGCTCATTAAGTCTTGCCTTGACGCGTTTCATCTCCGACTTTGCCTCCTTGTTGTCGGGATGGTTTGCAGTGAACTGCTGGAGACGCTCCAGACAGCGGTCGAACAAACGGAGTTCGTAAAGCGCCCGGAATTCACGAAAAGCTGCCTTTTCCGTCGGTGCAATGCGTTCCTTCGTCTTGGTAGCATCAAGAAGGGATTGTTCGGGACGATTGAGCTTGAGGTTGACAAGAGCGCGGTTGACGGACGCCAGTTGCTCGTCCTCGGGGGTGGCAGCATGAAGAACAGCATTGGAGTAACTGCAGTTGTTGATTAGCCGCAAAAACATAGCCATACGCGTCAAACACCAACAACTTACAAGTGTAATGCTTTGGCCCAGCGCCGGTTCTTCACGCATTCATTGCCTCGCATCCTGACGGCTTCACTGTTCATCCGAGGAAATTCCTTTCTCCATACATCAGGTATGCGGCTATCAAACGGCTTCAGCCAAATAATGTCGCTAAGGTGGTCGACCCTCAACGAGTAAGAACCATCTGTTGAGCACTTAAAGAATGGTTCTTTTATCATGAGCACGCTTCCCTTCTGGATGATTTCCTCTGGAAGGAAAACTGCCGCCGGAGGCTGATGATACAGCTGAAGAATTACAGCCGTTCCAGCCAAGTCCTCGGCAACTGCTAACACTGCATTTATGCGACGCGGCGGGGTGAGGATGCGAATCATGACCTTGGTACCGCGGTGGTGCTCTCCAAGGCGCATCTGTGTGATGTGAATTGGCTGAAGCTCATCGACAGAGCACTCAGAGGGGAGATACGGCGGTGGCAGTTGCGTCGTGGAAACAACGAAATCTGTAGGGTCAGGAGGCAAATCCATTCTCGCAGCGAGAAATTGGGAAACGATCAACGCCGGGGGGGGATGATCATGGACGAGCTGGCCATTTCTCCGTTGAGCCACCTCGTGCATCCTAATCCCAGCTTGCAGCATGGTTGCAAATTGGGCTTCTTGCGAGGCATCATAGGTGTCCATGCTTGGAAAAATGACAATTGTATTTCAGCGGCCGTCGCGGTGACTGATGAAGGAAAGATTGAATTCGTGGCCTGTCGCTCGACGAAAACTGGGAGAATCGAGATCGACTTCTCACTGGAGGATGAGTGTAAAAAGAAGAAGCAAGAAGGAAAAATCTTTTGCCCGGGCAAAGCATTTTAAGACTCCTGCAAACGCGTCTTTCACGGGTATCCCCCATTCACTTGCTGTTGCATGAGTCACATACAACACAAGATGAAAGCAATCAAACAGCAGTGAATTATTCGAGAAACTTTCGCAAGCGCGAGGAGACAATAACAACTTGTCCATCAGCAGCGCGGAAAAGTTGACCACCGGCTCACCGATTTCAACACACTGCTTTGTCTGCTTTTTCAAGCCATGTCTTTCGACAAAGACTGCACCATGCTCTGAACAAGAAAAGTAGGGCCAAGTCTGTGATAGCCGCATCTCTGCCGAAATTGGATTGTTATATCTCTAACGTAGAGCCCTGTGCGGAGTAGATGCTCGCAGATGCTCGCATTTTCCTAGTACTAACTAAGAATTTTTCAAATTGACAACGTCTTACCATGAAGATGCCATCCATTTTACTCTCTTTTTTTGTGCCCATGGTGGCTTTTGTGTTGGATGATGGCTTGCTTTACAAGCGCAACAAAAAATGTATTGATATCGGATGGCAATTCGTATGTGAGGTGCACTTATGGAGGGATTGATATAGTTCAATTTGGACCCCTCCCATCACCGTGCAAGTTGTGTGCACAGTTGCGCACACTGTACGGAGCAGGTACGGGGTAGGACCCCACAATGGCACCTGGTGGCTTGAGTTGATTAATATCCCTGCTGATGACATGCTACTTCCTGCACCTCATGCATGAATTAGGCGTCGTCTGACCAGGGGTGCCAGGCACACGAATAGACCGCCGAAATGTCTACTCCCACACCGCCTGCGCAGGCGCAGACGGGAAAGTGTCTCAGCTACGCGCGTTCCCCGCCGCCGTCGCCGCCGCCGCCACCGCCACTGCCGCGCCAGCCAGCGCCATATCCTCAAGGCGAAATAATCCGACACAATGGTCACCACTACGCAGTGCGGCACGGCGACTTGCTCACCAAATACACAACCAGCCCCGAGGGCATGGGAATCGGCGCCCACCCCAACGAGGCGATTGTTCTGCGCTTTGTCAAGCAGCACACCACGATACCGGTCCCTGACGTCATCGGTAGCGACTGGGATCGCATCACCATGTCCTTTGTGCAAGGGCAGACCTTGGAGCAGGCCTGGCCCGCCCTCACGCAAGCCGAGCGATCGACCGTCTTGGACGAGTTGAGAGGCTACATTGCGCAGCTCCGGGCCCTCCCCGGCACGCGCCTCGGCCGGCTCGACGGGCACGGCGTCGTAGTGCCGAGCGTCCTGACACGCTCCGGGGGGCCGTTTGCCACCCAGGCCGAGTTTCACCGTTGGCTGGTTCGACCACCGCGGCGCGTAGGCTCGCGGAGCGTGTTTTGGCACCAGATCAAGACGCAGCTCCGCGACGATTACCCCATTGTCTTTACGCACGGCGACATTGCGGCCAAAAATATCATGGTGCGCAACGGCCATGTTGTCGCGCTGCTGGGCTGGGAGTACGCGGGCTGGTATCCCGAGTGCTGGGAGTATGTTTTTGCGCTTCGTGGTTTGGATAGTATAGACTGGAAAACTCTCGGCGACCAAGTTCCATCGCTGTTTTCTACTCGCTATGACCTAGAGTACATTCTTATTGGCTTCATCCTCAATGCATCTTGAAGATGACCAACCTCCCAGGCATCCTTAGTAATCTTGCTTGTGAGTTTGTATTCCACCAGCTGACCATTGGTCCATAGAGCTGTGAAGGCGTCCAGTCCCTCCAAAAAAAATAGCTTTTCAACGACTTCTTCTATTGCTATATTCCTTGACTTTCTTGATTTCATTCTTATACTTTAATTTTATCTAAACCAACGGCGGGACCTTGATGTACGACCATGGGCTAGGATACTGGTAGTCTACCTAACCTACACTGCGCTACCAGCGCTATCAGTGCTCTGACTGTGGGGGTGGACCGCTCCCCCGCAGCCCTTTTGCGTTGCTGATCAGCTCGTTGCCATCTGTCATCTGCAAACCCGCCCTTTGCGAAGCTTCCAATCTCCTCACCGTAACGCGCGACCCTGTTGCAACTGCATCTCACAATGGCGGCTGCAGAGTTTGATTACGAATTCGTCCTGGAGGACGAGTTCGATGCCATGTAGGTTCCTATGCGTGCGGCTGCCTGCGCATCGATGGCCAAGACGATCGCTGACCACGGCGAGGAACAGCTCTCTGGACAAGAAGAAGTCTGTTGACGAGATCCTGAGCGGCAAATATCCTGGTGTGTAGAACCCTCACCTTTCACGGCTACCAGCTTTGCGCAAATATATACTGACCAACCCAGCCAAGAACCATGCCCGCAAAGTCGCCCACGAGCTCGGCGTTGACGAGGGCATCATTTATCTCGTCGGTGAACCCGAGCGTCGTTTTCCCGACTCTGATCAAGGCCCCAAGTTCCGCCAGCAGAGATAGTAGGTTCACGCAGTACCCAAAGCTCGGCCACTGCCTGACTCGCACAGCTTTTATTACCTCTCCGGCGTAGACTACGCCGGCTGCACCGTCACCTACGATATTGGCCTCGACACCTTGGTCCTCTGGATCCCTTACACCGAGCCCAAAAAGAGCCATTGGTTCGGCTCGACCCCTTCCACCGCCCAGGCTGCCCGTCTGTACGACGCCGACCAGGTGCACTACGCCAGCGACCTCGCGCACTACCTCACCAGCCTTCCGTCCGCCGCCACCGTCTACGTGCTGCACCCCGACCAGCGCCCTCCGCCGCTCGTGCAGCACCAGTCCTTTCGCGCGCGCTCCTCGGACGGCCCGCGGATCGACACCACCGCCCTCCGACCGGCCATGAACCGCGCCCGCGAGGTCAAGGACCAGTACGAGATTGCGCTCGTCCGCCGCGCCAACGACATCTCGAGCGCCGCCCACCGCCGCGTCGCCCACGCGCTGCTGCGCATGCGCAACGAGAGCCAGCTGCAGGCCGTCTTCGAGGCCGTCTGCACGGCGCGCGACGCGCACAGCCAGGCGTACCCCGTCATCGCGGGCGCCGGTCCCAACGGGGCGACGCTGCACTACGGCGCCAATAATGCGCCGCTCAAGGGCCACGCCACCATCGTCCTCGACGCCGGCTGCGAGTACCGCTGCTACGCCAGCGACATCACCCGCACCCTGCCCATTTCCGGGTCGTTTTCCCCGCGCGCGGCCGCCATCAACGACGTCGTCGCGCGCATGCAGACCGAGTGCATCGAGCTCATGAAGCCCGGCAAGTTCTACTACGAAATCCACAACCACGCTGGCCACGTCGCCGTCGACGGCCTCCTCAAGCTCGGTATCCTGCGCGGCACCCGCGAGGAGCTCATCGCCGCCGGCACCATCTCCGCTTTCTTCACGCACGGCCTCGGCCACCACGTCGGCCTCGAGGTGCACGACGTCGTCGGCGACGCGCCCCTACTCATGCCCGCGGCCGCCGAGACCGTCGGCAGCTTCCGCCGCGGCAAGCGCACCATGATGACCCCTGAGAAGCTCGCCGCCATGAACAGGTTCAGCAAGGCGACCGCGGCGGAGAAGCAGCGCACCGTCCTGCGCGCCGGCATGATCCTCACCATCGAACCGGGTCTGTACTTCAACCGCGCGTACCTCGAGGGCTTCTTCCGCGAGGACCCCGTGCACTCCAAGCTCATCGAGTGGGACGTTGTGGAGAGATACTACCCCGTGGGTGGCTGCCGCACCGAGGACTGCATCTTGGTGACGGAGAGTGGCTACGAGAACCTGACAACGGCGCCCAAGGGCCAGGAGCTTCTAGACGTGATTAATGGACGGGAGAGATCCAAGCCTCGTGAGTAAGCTGGGCGGGTCTATCATTTCAAGACCGTGCAGCCATTGTTGGAAAGTGTGTACATAGTTTGAGACGATTTCTCTATACCAATCGACCGTTGTTTGTATACAATCATAGCTGGTTTGCCATTTTTTCTCCTCAAGCATCTAAAAATATACATGGCATGTCTTTCTCGCCCTGCGGTACTCCAACTCGCAACCCACAACCCAGCATAGACACGAAATACACGATGACGCCTAACAATACAAAATAAAACTTGCCTTGTACAAAAAAATTGACCAATATGCACCACGTCCGTAACACTACGCTCATCATTGCTTCCTTCCCCTACAGATACTTCTTTGGGCTAGCCATCTTGCGGCGCTTGTAGACGATGTAGACACCCGCCAAGACGACCTGCGTGCCGACCAGGATGAAGATGAGCTTGCCGTGGCCAGGAATGCTGTCCATCATGCGCTCGGAGAGCAGGCGGTGGTGGTCGGTGAGGGCGCCGCGAAAGGTGTTCTCGTGGGAGCTGATGCGGCGGTCGAGGGCGTCGCGCAGGCTGGCGACGTCGCGCTGCAGAGACTCGACGGTGCGCTGGAGGCTGTCGACCTTGTCGAGACGCTTGAGGTCGGCGCGGATGTTACTAACCATGTCCTGCACCTCCCTGTGGCGCTGCTCGTCGACGGCGTGGTGCGCCGTCACGGACCGGTAGACGGCGGCCAGCTGGTGGTATGTTGACTGCAGGCGATTGTGCAGGTCGGCAAACTGCCGGGTCGATGTCTGGAAAACCTCGGCGCTCTCGTCGGGGATAGCCTTTCTAAAGGCGTCTTCGGGGTTGTCGAAACCGCCGGGCTCGGCCTGTTGGTTGCTGTTCTGGTTGTTGTTGCCGCCCTGTTGCTGCTGGTTCTGTGCGTGGCGGGGATCCACCGTCTCGCTCATGACGACGAGCTTGAAAATCTCAAACGAGTCGGGGTTCTCTGGCGTAGCGGCCGTAATACCAAAGGTGTAGCCTTGCGGGATGGCAATCTTGCTGCTCTCGAAGCACTTGCGGCCGTCAAACTCGACCTTGAAGTTGCCGCCGCTGTGGTGCACCTTGATCTGCGAGGGGCGGCCGTGGTTGCGGTAGCTGATCTGGCAGTGGCCAAACGCCAGGGAGTCGAGGTTGGTCTGGCGGGCGAAGTCCTTGGTGCCGTCGTTGAGGAAGCCGCGCAGCATACCGCCGGAGCCACCGTACTGGTCAATGACAAGGACCAGGCCCTCGAAGCGGCCGACCGTGTAGACGCTGTTCTCCTGGACGGCGGCGCGGCCGTCCTTGGCAAGCCAGATGTTGAGGTTGCCCGAGGCGCGCTCGGGGCCGTTGGCGCGCACGTCAATATCGGCGACCCAGTCGTCGCGCTGCAGCGTGCGCTCGCCCCAGATGGAGGCACGCTGGTTTCCCAGGCCCATGGGCGTCAGGATGACCTTGTTGGAGAGCACGTCGGGGCGGTTCGGCTGGCCGTTGACGTGGTAGTGCGGGATGGTGCCCGGCGACTCGTCATGGCTGAGTCTGTGGCGGCGGTGGTGGTTAGTGCCCACGCAGAGAGAGGATAATGCGAAGGGAAGCTGGAGGTAGAAAAGAGGAATAGGGGACTGACTTGGAGTCTATACCAAAGCTCAGCTCGTTGATGAGAAACTGTGCCTGGCCCAACCCAGCAGCAAGAGCTGCCAGGACCATAGAAACAGTGCGCATGGTGGCGAGGTGCTGCTTCGCTTCCGGCAAGAAATTCAAGAAATTTCTATATATAATACACCGTCCTCGAAAGTCTGCTCGTCGCGTTTGCAGACCTAATAATGGTCTAGGCCAAGGACAGAGGGGCGTGAAGGGTTTCGTCCCAAGATTTCAAGCAGGTGAGAGGACACTTTGCAGGCTGTGAGTGACAGGGGGTTGAGGTGCGGCGGGGAAGCTCCGCCAAGGCCTGTCGCAGCAGTTACACGCACGACAGTGATTATGCTGAAAAAAAAGAGAAGAAATACAATGGGCTGCGATGAAGAGAAAATCTATAAATGAGAGGGAAAGCAACAGATTCGATGGTAAAGGGGGGAATATCCGGAGACACGAAGCTCGTATCGGGCGGCGCGCGTTGCTAATCGATAAGGTGCCGAGCTTTGTGGAGGTGAGTGAGCTGGACGCTGGACCAAAAAAGTACCTAACCCAGCTTGCCAGCTTCCGTCCTTCCCTTCCGACTTGGTGATGCTTCCCGCAAGCTCCACGCCCACGCATCTCGGATCGGCGTTTCTCAACAACCAATAGTCTCTGCCATGCCACAAATGTCATAACCACTTCGTTCCCTCGTTTTCTGCCCGACATGCCCGACGCAACGTACCCAACCATCACGCAGTGCGCGTTGGTTTCGGCCGCCTTTAAGATTCTCCTGTTCCCCGCCTAGTACGACGCAGAACCCCCCTCCTGGCGAGCACACCTTGTGTACTAATAATTCTCATCAAAATCCAGCAAATCCACCGATTTCGAAGTCCACCGCAACTGGCTCGCCATCACACACAGCCTTCCCCTCTCCGAGTGGTACTACGAGGACACGTCGCAATGGACGCTCGACTACCCGCCCTTTTTCGCCTACTTTGAGTGGCTGCTGTCGCACGTCGCCCGCCTCGCCGACCCGGCCATGGTGCGCGTTTACAACCTCGAGCACGATACCTGGCCGACTGTTTACTTTCAGCGCACCACCGTCCTCGTCACCGAGCTGCTGCTCGCCTACGCCCTGCAGCTGTTTCTCGAGTCCTCGCCGCTGGCCTCGCGCCGCTCCGCCCACGTCGCCGCGCTCTCGGTCCTGCTGTCGCCCGGCCTGCTCATCATCGATCACATCCATTTCCAGTACAACGGCTTCATGTATGGTATCCTCGTGCTGTCGCTTGTGCTCGCCCGCGGTAAGAACTCGCTGCTCGCGAGCGGCCTGGCGTTTGCGGCCCTGCTCTGCTTCAAGCACATTTACGTCTACCTCGCCCCGGCATACTTTATCTACTTGCTGCGCACCTACTGTCTATCGCCCAAATCCATATTTGACATCCGCTTCGTCAACTGCGTCAAGCTGGGTGGTGGTATTGTGGCCATTGTGGCGGCGGCTCTGGGTCCGTTTGCTGCGTTGAAGCAGATGCCGCAGCTACTGAGTCGACTATTTCCCTTTGCGCGGGGACTGTGCCACGCGTATTGGGCTTCCAATGTCTGGGCTTTGTACTCTTTTGCTGACCGGGCTCTCATTGTTCGTAAGTACTTGTCAGCCAGCCACATAGCCTTGCTCATGCACTAACTCGCCCAGTTGCCCCAAGGCTAGGCCTCGATATCAAGGCAGACGCTTTGCAGAGTGTCACACGCGGGCTTGTCGGAGACACTTCGTTTGCTGTCCTCCCTGAGATTAGCGCCCGCACCTGCTTTGCCCTAACGCTGCTCTTCCAAGCGCTTCCGCTCATCAAGCTCTTTATGCAGCCGACGTGGGAGAACTTTATCGGCGCGACGACGCTCTGTGGCTACGCATCGTTCCTCTTCGGTTACCATGTCCACGAGAAGGCGATTTTGCTTGTGATAATTCCATTTAGCTTGATCGCGCTCCAAGACAGGCGACATCTCTCAACATTTCGGCCGTTGGCGGTCGCAGGCCACGTCTCCCTCTTTCCTCTTCTATTCACCCCGGCCGAGTTCCCGATCAAGACTGTCTACACGCTGCTATGGCTGGTCGTCTTTCTAACAGCCTTTGATAGGCTGGCGCCGGCGTCCAACAAGACCCGCTTCTTTCTGCTCGACCGCTTTAATACGTTGTACATTGCGCTGTGCATCCCGTTGGTCATCTACACGTCACTGTTGCACCAGCTCGTTTTTGGCCAACGCCTCGAGTTCCTGCCACTGATGTTGACGAGCGTGTACACGGCGATAGGCGTGGTGGGCAGCTGGGTGGCGTACATGATTGTGTATTTTACATCATAATATTCATGTTTTTTTCTTTATCTGCAAGCGATAGACTCATTCGGAAATAAATCGCCCAGGCGATGTGCAGAGACGCTTTCGAGAGTTGAGACCAGGCTGAGCCCTCACACTAGGTATCATGTACTAGGGCGGGATGGGAGACATGATGCAGTTGCATGGTTGCTTTTGGTGCGGTAGACGGTGCTACAGTGCGCCGTAACTCTGGGGAAAATACCACGTATGCAATACTAAAAACCATTGCTTCCTAGAATTGCTGACTTTGTTTCGACGTACGATTGACATTCTGGAGAGGTGGTGCCCGACAACTTGCATGGGGTCACTGCGTCCTCTGTTTCCTCCTTCAAACTCATTAGATGACTTGAGTGGTCTTTCTCAAGACAGTCTTGTATAGTTCTTTCAAAAGCTCGCTCTTCTTTGGTTTTCGACTATGATATATGCATTATGGCGGCTTCGGAGCGATAGCCGACGTGAAGTTACCAGCGGAGGAACGAGCCAAGAGAACCTGTGACAGCACCACGACAGCACTCGGTTGTCGTCACGTATGATACCGGGCACGGCGTCTGGCCAAGTCTTACGACAGCAAGCTTTTGGATAATCTATTCAAGAAAAATGAGTATGGCAAGAAGGTTACGCGTGAGGAATTCGACTGGATCTTAGGCCACTACCAGGTCATCTTGAAACTCGATCCTTGCGCTCAACCGCCGGCCGTGGTGCTTCCTACTGACTATACGGGTCCTGGAGGTCGTTTCGGATATTCCGGCGGCATATTTTGCCGGACTGCTTCTTGCGGCATATCATGACGCCAACGTCATTTTAACCATGAGAGGTACGGAAAGCTGGTTCACGTAAGCTGCCCCCCCCCCCCCCCCACTTGCAACACAACACCGGCACGTAGCACGAGTGCTTAAATTTTCTCTCATTGACCAATTATGGTAGTTCTGTGGCCAAGAATCTGTGTCCCCTGCTCGAAACCCGGCTTACCAGGTTGATCTTGGTGACAGACTAGCTGTTACTTATGCCGTCGCGCTGGAGGTAGCTCATGCTCTAGACGCTCGACCGGCTGTAGTTCCAGCATGACTTTGCCGGCAACGAGTGGCGCGTCTACGAGGAGCACAAGTCCCGGGTGCTCGCCCTGGTGCCACCCGACAAGCTCTTCGAGTACCACGTCCACGAGGGTGGGTGCCGCTGTGCGCATTCCTCGGGCGCCAAGTGCCTGAGCGCGCGGCAGCCGGCGACACGCCGCACCTCAACAGCAGCGCGGCGTTCATCGGCAGCCATCGCGGGATCAACTATTACACGCCAGCGGCGCAAGTGAGGCGGTTTCTTGATGTGATGGCGTATGCAGCGCTGGTGGTGATGGTCGCAGGAGCGGTGACAAGGAGACGGTGGATCAGGTGGCCCAACTGGGAGTAAGGGAAAGAGGAGTTGATAAGAAAGGGATGTGGGCGTAGCTAGCCAGAGGAGTATATTTTTTCAGAATCAAAGTGACGTTAAAACCAAGTTGTCAGCTCTTGCGGTGGGGAAATATAGTCCTGGTTCTGCTGGCTGCCGAGTGATTCCAAAGCAGATTGAATATCATCGGACACTGTCCAAATTTGACGCAGGGTTGTGAGTGGAAGTAAAGGGATGGTAGGAAAAGGACGCGATTTATTCAACGCACTTCATCTGTCTAGAAGCTCGAAAAGTATTGACCTGAAGGAGCAGCTAGAAAGCAGCCCTGCCAGGCTCCAGCAGCAAGTCTGGGGGCGGCGGAGATGAGAGGGAGAAGGCGGGTAGCAAGAGGGTGCCTGTACTCGGTGTATCACGATGGTAAAAATTCAAAGATATAGATGATTCGACTCGCCGTGAATTTACGATCAGAATGAGCACAAATATGGGCATGAAAGACGCGCGAGTTGGGATGCAAGGCCGCAATATCATGGCGAGTCGGTGTTCGAGGTAGTGCAACGGGCAGTGAGAGGTGCAGAGAAGAACGGGGCTGGCCCCGGCGTAGCCGGGTGGGCCGGGCTTGCAAGTACCTTTTTCGTACTGTGCGGGTGGGAGGGCTGTAGAGGAGGGGGGACGGGGGCGGGTGCGGGGACGCATTGAGGGAGCTTTTTGAGGAAAAGAAAAACGAACAATTCCAAGCACGGCAAAGAGAGCGTCGGGGAATTTTTTTTTCTTTTAAAAGCAACCGTTCATGGCAATGAAAACTACATCCCAATCCCAACATGGCGCGGAGGAACACCCCTTCGGTACCTTACAGCTTCCGCCCCCACAAAATTAGTGCCAGGTTTCCCTTCCTGGCGAGGCACCCTTTGTCACTCGTCAACCCAATTTATTCTATGCTGGCGGTCCGTCAAGTACCAACCACACCTTGTCCCGCCCAGCCAGGTACCTCGCACTGCCGCCCCGTTTGCTTCCACGCGCTCGTCCTGCCACCTGCCAGGCCCAAGAAAATTAAACACAAGGGAATCCATCCGTTGCCTCTTGTCCCCCATGTTCCTATTTTTCTTCTTCGTCTTTCCTTCTCATCACCATCACCATCACCATCACCGACATCATCGCCGCAGCACAGACGGCATCTTCACCAATCCCCCCCACCAACCCGCCATCGCTTTACAACGGCCATTCTCTCCGCCGCGTCGTGTAAGTGAGGTCACCTCACCTCGATCGACCCGCAGACGTGGTGCGTGGTGTGTCCAACTAGTTGCCGTGTGTCTCTCTTCGCTCCCACCACTAGACAAGGCCGGCCAAAATCCACTCTCCTCCTCCTGCTCGACCCCCCGACCGACGACCACCTCGCCGCCAGAAAAAGTCTCCACCTCTGACCTTTTTACTCGTTTTCCTTTCTACACAATCTTTTAGACGCCGCAGCTCGAACAAAGCCGTCCGACCAAGCGTCGCTTCATTTTACTTGTGCTCTTTCTGCTTTGGCTTGCCTGATCCGACTTGACACAGAGACCGCGCGCCAACCTCGAGCCAATCCCGACGACTCTCGTCCCCCCGTCCTCGGCGCGTCCCAATCCTGCGGCCGCCTCCCTCCACAACGGCACTTTGAGGCTGGAGTCGATCCGCTTCCGCAAGACGCGCTTTTTTTTTCAGCAGCGAGGTTCATTGCGGTCCGCGCAACTTGCACCTCGCCGCCTGCTCAGCGCACGCATAGAAGCGCGACTCGACTGTCGTCACTGTCCTCGACATAATGGTACGCACCCCGATCGCGACCCTATCCATGCGATCTCCCCGTGCCTGGCCACGCAGCGCACCCGCTATCCCTTCTAACTATATCGTCTCCCTAGGTCTTGTTCAAGCGCAAGCCCGTCAAGTTTCTTCCACCGCCAGAGGTTGATCCAGATGCACAGGTATTCTTTCATTCCATTGTTACAAAGGCATATAACTGACGCGACATAGGTCTGGACCATTAAACAAACGAATGAAATATTTGCGACATACGAAGATTACTTGAAACGGTAAGCAAGAACATGCAATAGTTCTACAGATATCCCCGATCCACGCTTACACCATCTAGCATGGACTTTTATAAACAGGTAAAGCGCCCAGTCGAGCACCATGCACGACCCAGCACTAACTGCCACAGCAACGATTCAATGACCAAATAACCGGACATTCGGGTCTCACTTTCTTCGAAGCGCACGAAAGCGAAGTATGTATTTTCCAAGAAATAATTGCTTGCGTCAGTTTCTAACTACTCCATAGCTCGCTGGCGCACGTGAAGTCGAAGAATCATTCCCCGAAGCTCTCAAAGGCCCCATTCTCCGCAAGGTCCAGTTTTCAACCGTTTCGCGACTCGATAATCTAGTCGATACCATTTTTGACGAATTTAAACACGATTTCTACCCCGGCGAGAAAGTCACAATTATCAGCCACACTGGCGAGCGAACCCATGGCCTCGTCCGTGACAAGACGACCTTTGGCGAGCGCATGCTTGCCGATGGCACGCGCACAAAACCTTCGACAAAATACCTGGTCAGCGCCCGCCCCAGCGGCCATGAAGACTTCGTCACAGAAGGTAACATCTCGCGTGATCGTGGCGCCTTCACCAAAGCTATGCTGCGCGCTTTCCTCAAGAAGACAGTCACGCGCGAAGCATGGACTGGGGCTCCCTGGGTTGTCAAGCTGGACTACGCTTCGCAGTTCCACATCGATTCGAAGATCCCACCCCAGTTGCGCTACGAGTTCAAGATACAAGAGCGTAAACGTGACCAGGCCCAGAAGCGCTCAGCCGACACCAACGGCCACGCTGCATCCCAACCTGCGCGACTACCGGAGCTGAAGCCGGCAAAAAGCATCAAACCCAAACCGCTCCCTGGCAAGGGACTCAAATGGCCCGCTGGAATCGTCAATGGTAGCGCGGAACCTAGCATCAAAAGCGAACGCTCTTCTCCACTCCCGCCTCCGCCACCAAAATACCCTATCGAAGACTTGCAGCTCGACCCCAACCCCGACAATCCTCGACCTGCAATCAAGTTCATGTGCCGCGATGCACCCGCCGACAAAGGCAATGACGATCCGCTACGAAATGATGTCGAAATGAAAGCTGTCGGGCTCCTGCTAGAAACTTGGGATACCCTCAATGTGTATTGCGAGATTTTTAAACTCGACTCCTTCACCTTTGATGACTTTGTTGAAGCCATGTCTATCGCTTCTGAACGCACTCGGATCCAGCTTTTTGACGAAATTCATTGTTCGTTACTCAGTATTATGGTGGACTCTTCACAAGACGGTGGTAAAGTTCGCATCCCATTGCCTGAAATCGAAGAAGATGACAGCGATGATGAGGATGGAGAAGCTGAGGAAGGCGGCGAGGAACAAGAAGAAGAGGAGGCGGAGGAAGAGCGCGAAAAGAAGCCCGCCAAACGAGCTACGCGCAGCAGTCTAGCAAAGCAGGAAGCTGAGCGCATAGCTGCTGAGGCTGCCGCAGCTAAAGAGGAAACCATCAAGGCTGAAATGGAATCCAAGACACGCGCCGAAGAAATGATGAAGGAGTTCAACTGGGTTGAACATCTCCAGAAACGAGACTTCGCCAACGGCGGCTGGGAGCGCATCGTCGTCGGCCTGCTACATCAGCTGTCCAAGGGTGAGAGAAAGCAGCAGATGTATCAGGACTTACTTCTGCAGATTATTCCTACCGATACAGAGCCTACGCAAGAAGCTGCACGCCAGAATTACGCCAAACTCAACGTCAACACGCGAGCACAGATTTTACAAATTCTCTGCATGTTGACCACTGAAACGAAGGCTATGCGGGCCTATATGGAGGAATGTAATGAAACCATGACCAAGTATCGCAAGGACAGGGTCGAATGGCAGCGCCAGCGCAAACAGGCAATTGAAGACCTCCGCCAGCTCAATGAACAGCGCAAAGCTCTACTTCCCGAGAACACGCCCATACATGAAGAAGCCAAGGAGAATGGCGATGTCAGCATGAATGGAGCCGACGACACTATAATCGAAAAGGAGGGCGATGACGAAGCGGAACCCGGCAATGGCGACAAGCCGCAGAAGAAGCGTCAAGGTCGCCAGGTCGTTGATAAGCGAAAGAAACGTCAAGAAGACGAGGCCGCCCGCAAGGCCAAGGAAAAGGCACAAAGAGAAGCTGCCAAGGCGTCTCACCAATCGAAACAATTCACGAAGCTGCTCAAGGAAATCCAAAAGAAGGAAGATCTGATCAAGACATACGAGGAGGAGGTTGCAACCATTGAAAATGACCTTCGCGAGGCCGACTGCCCACGCACGCGTGGTCTAGGAAGAGATCGATTTTGGAACCGATACTACTGGTTTGAGCGCAACGGAATGCCTTACGGTGGGCTGCCTAACAGCTCGACTGCGGAAGCGGGCTACGCAAATGGACGGCTTTGGATTCAGGGACCCGATGAGCGGGAACGCGAGGGTTACATTGATGTGACGACGGACCTCGAAAATGAATACAAGGCCCAGTTCCAGATGACGGTGCGCGAGCGTAAGGAAAAGGAAGAAGGCGGTACGAGCCTGGAGAACGCTTACCAATGGGGCTACATTGACGACGCGGAAAGCTTGGATAAGCTGATTCGGTGGCTGAACCCGCACGGCTTCAATGAGCTGCGCCTGAGAAAAGAACTGGTCACGCTCAAGGACAAGATTGCGGAGCACATGGACAAGCGCCAGCAGTATCTGACGGGTGCCGCGGACGAAGAGGGGCGCAGGGACGAGTCGGCCTCGGCGAAGCGAAGCAGCTCGCGCATCCGGGACAAGACGCCGGAGCCGCCCAACTACCGATGCCTGCGGTGGGTGAATACCATGGCGCAGGACGAGCTCGGCCACTTGCATGCGGATCCGCCGCCGCCGCCGCGTCTGCGCAAGCAGACCAAGAAGCGTGAGGCCATGGAGGCGCCTCCCATACCGCCTCCACGGGCTGCCAAGCGAAGCAGACGTTGATGAAGGAGATGGTATGTTTATAGGACCTGTTGGATTTTTTTTGCTGCATTTATTTCTGTTTGCATTTGCTTTTGTCGAGGTTGTATGCTACAAGGATGAAATTCATAGGTGTTTCCGGCGGGTTATAGAGTCGCTTCTGGCTGCATATAAAACGAGGGAGCAAGCGTTGGGGGGGTCGATGCCAGTGCACCCTGTTTTTGTCGTTGTTTTTTTGTTTCTGACTGGACATTGAAATAGAAGGCATGTATTATACACTATTCTGGATAGCAAGAAAACTGTTGGGATGTCTATTGAAATCGTGTACGACGGTGATTTGCTGTGCCCCGCCATGCGACGAGTGACAGAGCAGTTGGTTCCTGTCTCGCTAATGACTCATCACTTGTATTAATAAATTAATTATTATTAATAACTACATAGGTAGAAAAACCGTTGGACATTTTAGCACGTGGTCGGGCTTTCATAGACAGCGTACGGGGAGGGAGATAAGTCGGGGCAGTCGAGTGCGGACATTCCATTCAAGTACAAGTACTGTAATATGAGGACAGAAAAATATGCAACGAGAAGCCCGGCCAAAGATTAATTACACAAGACGTCTTGTCACTTGTCATTCCTTCCCCTGAGCCCGTCCGTCGGCGGCATCCGTCGAACCCGAGCTGTGGGGAGGCGCGATGAGCGGAGCGGCGTCTGCCACGACGCACTTTATTAAGCTACTGGGGAATATCAGCTCAACTAAGCAGTTTCTGCCGAGGCTCGCTCGGCCATCCATCGTGCTGGGTTGGGTGGTGTGCCTTGCTCAGCTCGCAATCGACTTTCCAGGGGTAGCGGCTTTTCTCTTTCCTTTTTTTTTTCTGCTCTCTCATATAACATGACAAGCTTTCAAAAGTCCCGGTTCCTATTTTTATATTCCTTGTCATCGGTTCAAGACGTCAATTTGCGCAATTACAACGCTTGGTACGCCCGTTTGTTGGCCGAATAACGCCGCGCTGCCGCCCAATCCACCCTGAACTCAACCTCGCTCCTTCATCAATCCCAACTACATGACAAGCGCGGCAACCATGTCCGAATCAGCCAGCGAGAAGACGCTCGCCCCCGCGGAGGCGTCTGTCGCCGTGCTCCCCTCCAGCTCGCCGACCGAGAAAGCCGGCATCGCTAGCAGCACTCCCTCAGCAGCCGCCCCGAAAGCAACACCACCACCACCCACCACCGCTCGCCGCAACCTCTCCACGCTCGCCCGCACCGACGCCTTCATCGCGCACCTGCAGCGCTGCATGCAGACGCGCGCCGGCGCCGACACGGTGCTCATGTTTGCCTGCTACGCGACGCGTCTCGCCGGCGGCGTGCTCGACCTCGGCGGGCGCGCGGCGCTCCGCTCCTCGGCGCGGCAGCTCGTGTCGGCGCTCTTCTCGCTGCCGCCGGCGACGACGGTGGTGATTGAGTCCGCGACGGCGTCGCCGGCGATTGCCCGCGTGCTGGACCTCGCGCAGCGCCTGCAGGCCTACTCGGGCATGATCTCTGAGATGCGCACCATGGGCCGCCTATGGGGCCTGCTCGGCCTGTACTCGGCCGTCAAGGGGCTCGCCGCCAAGACGTTTGCCGCCCGCAAGGGCAGCAGCAGCGGTGACGACGCTCTCAGTGACGATGCCGCGGAGAGGACGTTTGCGGCGCTGCTGGCGTGGGCGCAGGTCATCTGCCTCGTCGTCTTCCAGGCGTGCGAGAACGCCGCGTACCTCGGCAGCAAGAAGATCCTGCCCATCAAGCCGCTCAACCAGGGCCGGCTGGCGGTCCTGAGCGTGCGCTTCTGGGGCGCGTACGTCGCCATGGAGCTGGTCAAGCACATGGTCGAGCGCGGGCGCGTGCTGGCGGCCGCGGGCGGCGTCGTCAAGACGGCCGAGCAGAGGACGTGGCAGGAGGGCTGGCGCACGGCGTTTTATCGGAACGCGGCGTGGGCGCCCCTCACGATGCACTGGGGCACGCCCGGCGGGCTGCTCCCAGATGTCGCCGTCGCGCTGCTCGCGCTGTACCCGGCGACGGGCGGCCTGAGGGATCTTTGGCGCAGCACGGCGTAACGGCGTGGATGGAGAGAGGCGGGTGAGGAGGCGAGATATGGTGGTATATAGCAGGAAGCAAGGTGTTGTGATGGTTTTTATTTGTTTGTTTGGTTGTAGCCAGATTTGAAAGGGCTAATGAAGCTCGGCGCCTGTTTTATGCAGTCATCAATCAACATGGACCAGAATGGAACTCGACTGGATACCTATCTATCCTCAACTCATGATTTATTGCCATGTAGTGTTATATGCACAACTATACACAAATGCTTGCTATTGAATATGTATGTAGAATGTAACTCGGCCAATATGCGCATGTTATATTCAACCGTCACCACCGCATCTTCATTATCTCCTCCTTTGTCCAGTACTTTGCCATATTCTCCGCACCTAGCGTCCGGACCTCATCGTCCAGATGCGTCCAGAGCACGGTCCCCCATGCCTCCATCCTCTCCTTCAACGCGCCCGCCTCGAGCACCTCGTCCCCGCGCCGCACGCCCTTCAAGTACGCCTGCAGGCCGTCGAGCCCTGCGTGGATGGCCTTGTGCTGGCGCACGAGGTCGCCGCGGCGCGCGTCAAAGGCGGGCATGCGCCGCGCCAGCTCGGGAAAGATGTGCTGCTCCTCGATGCCGTGGTGCACCGTCAGGTGCTCGCCAAACTCGAGGCCGGCGCGGACGAGCTGCGCGAGGGACTGTCCGTGGGAGCGCTGGCCGGTGGTGGCGTACGTCCAGAGGAGGTTCCAGGTGCGGCGAAAGTTTTCGTGCTTGAGATTGGGTTAGTGATTTGAGGTTGGGAAGGGGAGTAGGGGAGGGCGTACGTAATAGTCCATCCGGACGGCGAGTTGATTGTATATTTTAAAGTCGTGGTCTGACAGCTTGGGCGCTGGCTTGGGGTCCGGCTCTGTGTTTGCGACAGAGTCTGGCAGTTGATCCGTATTTGACGTCATGGTTGCTTGCTGTGAGTATGGGAATCTGGTAAAAGAAAAATATGTCGGGCTGTCAGCGACAGCACAGGCGCTCTTATTTAACGGATCAATGTGGCGACGTGCAGTCGTGGCTGTGAAGAATATGAGTCCGCGGAGGCGAGAAACCAACATGGCCCAAACCAAGCTAGAAATATGAGGAAGCAAAATAGAATACTACTAGTAAAGCTAGACTGGCGCGGAGCGTTTCTATATGTCTAGGTCAAAGCCAATGCACGAGCCGCATTGCTAAGCAACTAGCGTATAAAGGCGGTTGCTTATGTAGACTTAATAATGCACTTGACCGTTGAAGATTAGAGCTTGACACTTTCTAGAAGAGTTTTTATGGACATTTTGAGCAGTTCTGCTGCTTTGGGGAAGAGACGCTAGTTATGGCCCGAAATTAATTAGATCTACGAATTAGATGGGATCACAGCTCAGACGGCCAAGCAGCAGACCAAGATAGAATTGCGAATTTTTTTTCACCGAGAATTGCAGCCATTCACCTACAGCACTCCCGTTTGCTTGTGTAGCACCAACAAACAGGCAGCATTTTGCTTTTGACCGTGCGCCTTGCCGCTCCCCATTTTCCACTCTGCACATCATCACCACCTCTTGAAATTGTCAAAACTGTCAAAACAAGACACCATGGTCCAGTGGACCTTCAGCGCCCCCGAGGGCTATTTCGATGACTGTGCCGCACTTGCCGCCCAGTTACCCAACAGCAGGCTCACCACACGTCCGCTGTTTGCCCTCACGCCGCGTGACTACCCATCCGATGCAGCAGCAACAGCCACCAAGGACAACCGGCCGTGGGCGCGCTTCACCGCCCACGTCGCGGCCCTCAACCGCGAAGCCCCCGCCAACGTCTCGTACAAGATCATGTTTCTGACCCGGCACGGCCAGGGCTACCACAATCTCATGAAGACGCTCTCCGAGGATGAGCAAGGAGAAGAGGTGAGGGGGAGGGGGGCAAAGTTGTACCCGCAAAGGCTCACCTGCGAAGTTTTGCTTACACGTTGCGTCAAAACAGAATCACGACGCCCAGCTCCCGGATGAAGCAGCGTGTTTCGACGCCTTCCTCACGCCTGTCGGCGTCGCCCAGGCCACGGCCCTGTCCGGGCTCTGGCTCGCCTCCATCGCCGCCGACGGGCTGCCCGTCCCGCAGACGCTCTACACGAGCCCCCTCGCGCGCTGTCTGCAGACCGGTCAGCTCTATCTCCAGCCCATCATGGACGCTCACAACCTGCCGTACGGCCCGCTGGTCAAGGAGGGGCTGCGCGAGCGCCGGACCATGCACTCATGCGACAGGCGTCGCCCGCGGGCGTGGATCGCGGAGAATTGGCCCGCGTGTGTGATTGAGGAGGGTTTTTCGGAAGAGGACGTCATGGGGGCGCTGCCGCGCCCGGAGACGGAGGAGGAGAATCGCGTTCGCGTCTTGGAGGCGCTCGCTGATGTGTTTGAAGCGGATGCGAGCGAGGTCGTGGCGTGGACGTTTCACTCGCTGTCGATGCGGGCCCTGCTCGGTGGACTGGGCATGGTCCCGTTCAAGCTGCAGCCTGCAACGACCATTGCCGTCCTGGTGCGGGGAGAAAAGGGGGAATAACGGCATCGATGGCAAGTCATGCACAGGAGGTGCATGGCCCGCAAGTGTCAGGGTGATATGTCGATGAGGCTGCAAGCAGCATGGTGATTTTCATTTCAGTTTGGGTATATTATTCGAACCCTCCCTAACCCTCCCTAACCCCGAACCCTCTCCCAAAGAACAAATTCTACTCCCGTCCCCTCACACAGTCGTCGGCACCAGCGTCATCATCTTGACGACGACGCCTTCAGCCGTCGCCCTCAACTCGCCCATCTTCAAAAATGCCGCCTCGTCTGCCTCGTCGTCGCCCACATCACGCAGCCAGTGGTACGTCCTGACAGGACGACCGTCCCACGCCAGCACCTGCCGCTCCCCGCCCTCGACGGCCGCCCCGGCGCGTATCTGCTCCCCGCCAGAGGGATGCACCAGCGGCATCGGCAGCCGCCACATTTGGGCTGCGGCCAGTGCCGCATCCAGTTGCAGGCTCTTGGGGCCAAACGTCTCGAGCATAAGCGTAACGCGTAGCTGCGGCGACAGCACCCCGTACGCGGCGCCGCGGTCCCACGATTCCGTCTTGAAAGGCGTGAGGCAGAGGGATTCGGGGAGGGTTGCGGCGTCGACGACGTAGACGGCCGAGGAGCCAGAGCTGGCGGTGTGGTCGGAAAAGTAGCCGCCTTGCTCGTTTTCATCGTCGTAGACGGCGTCGGCGTCGGCGTCGTAGGTTTGGGGCAATGTGTCGTGAATGTGGCCGTAGCTCGTCTCATTCAGAGCCGTAGCATGCTCTGGTATCCCATCATGGTGACTTGCCGCATCGTTCTCTTCCATTAACGCCTCGTCCGTCTCCAGCTCCGAAGAAGCATACGCCCCCTCCTCGTCATCTTCATAATCCTTGCTTGCCCATCTCTCCCGTTGCGCCTCCCACTCCAGTGCCTCCTCCACACTCGACCTCCTCCTCTTCCGTCTCCTGCGCCGGCCAGCATCCCTCATATCCGCCACACACTCACCCGGCAACTTATCCGGCCACGGCGGCGGCGGCACGCTCGTCCACGTCCACCAGTCCATCCTATTCATCCTCACGACAATCTCCTCGAGCGCCTGGCGCTCCGTCAGGACCCTGACCACGTCTTCATTCACCAGGCCCTTCCTCTCGGCCACCAAGTCGGCGACGCACACGGCGGCGGCGGCCTTTAGCTTGCCCAGGGCCGCGACCCACATGTCGAGGAAGCCGGCCTCGAGGCGAAAGTGCTGCATGGTCATCTCGGCGCGGCGCAGCAGCAGCACCTGCCAGGCGTGCGGCACCAGCACGCCGGCGGCCAGGACGACGGGGGCCCACTCGCCCGGCTTGTCGCAGGGCGTGCCGTCGGCCAGCACGGCCTGGGTGAGGCGCACGGGCAGGTCCCAGGTCTCGGCGTAGACGGCGCGGCAGGTGCGCAGCAGCGCGGCGTCAATGTAGGGCGCGCCGCGGCGGTCCGGGCGCCAGGCGGGCGACCGCGGGTGGTACGGCCACCGCGCGCTGGACTGGGTGCGCAGCACGAGGCGCCAGACGGCGAGGCGCAGCTCGGGCGGCAGACGCGTCAGCAGCAGGCTGCCCGGCTGCGACGCGGACACGGACATGGGCGGGAGCGAGGCGGCGACGGGGAGGTGCTGCTTGCCGGCGGGCATGGTGTCAAAGGTCGAGCTGCGGCGGACGCCCCAGGGCCAGAACCAGCGAAAGTGGCCAACGTCCATGTAGGCCGGCGCCGTGTCCGAGTCGTACCCCCCGTCGCTGTCGCCGTCGCCGTCGTCGGCTGCTTCTTCGTACCGCCATGCCAGCGATCCGTTTTGGAAAAACTGCTCCGTCTGCAAGAGCTCCGCGTGTTGGTGCGAGCGCACCGGTCGCGGCCGAGTCATGTACATGGCCGCCACATTCGTTGTTTGTTGTGTAAGAGGAAGGTTTTCCCAACTCTGTCTCTCCCCCCCCCCCCCTCCTCCCCCACGCACTAAGTTTTTTTTATCTTTCTTGATTTTATTTTCCCTCCTCTTTTTTTTTCTTAGCGACTTGGCACTTTCGCCAACAAAACCCCGCTCCGGATCTCGTTCCCGTTGGTGCTCGCCTCTCTCTGCTGCCTCGTTTTGGCCAAGCGACGATCCTGTCAAGCTAAATCAATGTAACCCCCCCCCCCCTCCCCCCGAGGTGGTGGCGCAATCGACGACGGCCGGGTTTTTGACGGGTTATTACTTGGGGTCGCGGCGCATTCGCTCCACGCTGTCTGGCCCCCTTTTGCTGTGCTTACGGTCTCGGCAAGAGAAAAAACCGCCGCTTTATCGTTGCATTCGATAAGGAGGGAGGGGAGGGGGGCGAGTCTAACAATAGATGGGCATTCTGAGAGCTGAGAAAAACCCAACTTGTTCTCTAAGAGGGGGAAAGCGTGCCCGGAAGCTCGGAACTCTTGGCTCGTGCTTATCTGCATACGTTTTTACGGATATGTAGATCCTCTTCACTTACACTTTTCATCTTGGCACCTTGTACGCGCACCATGTCCAGCAGGCATCGCCAACCTCCAGCAGCTAGACTTGAATTCTGTAGCCAGAGCAGTAAAAGGCTGCCCAACTATCTCAGCCAGAGCCTGGTTACCCCCCCCCCCATCATCTCCATACGTATGCTTTTGCGCTAGTTGGCGGCTTTCCTCTAGTGACCAGCCCAAAAGACACCCCCCCCTGCACGAACCGCCAGACCTGACAGGGTATTCGGGGGCCGAACACCCTGTAAGGCTGCGGCTAAATACGTACCTAGGTATGTCCGGTTCGCAACGGCCGGACAATAGTTACTGGGACAAATCACAGGTATTGAATTTGAGGAGTTTGACGGGTCGAAAAGTGTAGACGAGAATACCGATGGGGCGGCCGGCTCCAAGTTGGCCCCCGGAGAGACAGCGCTGGTCGTTGTTCCGAGGTCCTCGTCATGCTCAAACTCTTGGGAAAAGTCCTCGTCAGCGTCGCCGGTGGTCAGTCAATTCTTTCCCGCCGCCTGGAATTGGTATCAGTATTGCTATTGCCATCTATCGTCATGGAATCCCTGAAAATGGCAAATAACGGCCATAGGGACCTTGAAAAACTAAACTATAAATAAAACGTTAAATTCTATAAATAATTCCAAGTAAAACAGACCTACCTAACAGGTCTTATAGGCTTATAGGTGCAACCAGACAATAACCTGCCAGTTTGTTGTTACGAATCCTTTTTGCCTTGTTCCGTGGCATACTAAGTGGGTTGTGGCTTAATTTACGCTACTGATGGCAGCAGTGCCTACTAATAAGTTAATAAGTCGTCCCTTTAAAGATAAAGCATACAAGAGAATTTTATAAAGAATTTCATAAAACTTGGTTGTGCAAGTTATATGCTAGCTTAAGCTAATACAGATTGTTGAATCTAACGTACAAGGAGGACGACTCTTACCCCAAGATTAGCAGCTACTTTTGGGTTATGGTTCTTGCTAATTAGAGCGCAGCTTTGTTGGGAAAGGCCCTGGGAGTTTTTAGGCTCATCGTCAGTGAAGGCATCGTCAAGCGCCGGGGGCCTGAAGATTGGTGCACCGGTGAAGCCGTTGCCGTTGCCGTTGCCGTTGCCGTTGCCCTTGCCCTTGCCCTTGTCGTTGAACTGCCGTGGTTCATGGACCGGCAGCGAACTGGCCGTAGCTAGTCCAGTAAAGAGAATGGCGAGAGAAATTGAGAATTTCATTTTCGTCTAAAGATGTTGTAAAAAAAAATTTATGAGTAGGCAGGTTATTCGGTAGTGGTTGGAGCTTGTGATATGATGGTGAGAGGTATTCTAGCTACAAGTTATCCCGACTCTATATATACTGTTCGAAATCAAAAGTAGTCTCTAGCAATGCAAATCAGTAGTTGTTTGGGCGGGCCTATCGCGGCCTTTACGCTAATCCCGAAACTTGGTGACACTCTTCGAGCCATGCGCCTGAACCTGGCCAACGAGGTAAAACTTGGGCGTCAGCGACTTGGTCTGATACAACGGCGGTAATCCCCTGTCAACTAGAAACAACTCAATGCGCAAGGAGATGAACGTTGAGCCCGTAGACCTACAGTCTAATTTCTGGGTTCTCTTTCCGAACCCCAGGTCGGTGGTGTTAGCGGGAAGTGGCTGACCGCCCGCCCGGCCGGGCCGGCCGGAAGGGATGGGCCGAAAGCTGACCCCCCGGTAGAACAGACGGAGAGGCATAGAACGGTTGCGCTTAGAATGCAACGGGGAAAGCGATGCCAACCTGAGCACGTGGTGAATCAGTGCGTGCGACGTCTCGACTGCTAACTCATGCATCTGCCGTAATCATGTCGAAAAATTGCTTAGCTACGGGTACGGTGGTGAGCCGCATTAACATGCCTACCAGCAATGGAGTCCAAGGGCAAAGCGAGCACAAAGTGCATGCACTATCTCGGCCCTTTATTAGGCACGCTTGCTTCAAAGGGCCGCGCTATCTACGCCCGTAGTTAGTGGCCTCAGCCTAAGACTAGCCCAGAGTGCGACTCCTTCACAAGAACGCATGTAGGCTGGCGAATGACGCTTTGTGGCTATAGACGAAATTGAATTTGCTAATGGGAGAAACCTGGTAGAAGACGCGTATAAACTCCGAGCTGTGATATATCCGTTGCTTAAACTTTTGCCTCTAACTTGATCAACGTTGTTGCTCTACGACAGCAATCCCGGCGCAAAACCAGGACTGGAACTTGCGGCCCCTACGCTTCATGGCTACAACGGCGCCGAGAGGTTGTCTCGAGGCATAATTAGGCTTGTCCAGGTGTTGCCAGCCAGATCTGCCGGCGTGGGCAATGTCTCGCTACGCGAACCTTGCGATAACACGGGCCATGTTGTCGCAGAATGAGAATGAGGTACAAGCACGGAACTTGACTCCAATGGACAAGGATGCGGCAAGTGCCAAGCTGCCATCTCCTGACAGTCTTTGGCGACTCCTGGTAGAACTTTCGAGGGCCATCGCAAAAGGCCTCCCACAGTTGGTTCCGTTGTACGGCGTTTGTACACGAATAATAGTACCTTCGCTTCCCTCGATCCTTTAGATTCACGGTCCGATTCATCGCTTCTCATTGGCACTCCAACTTTCTTAATGTACGATACACGAAGAGTACAGAACAATCTCCGAATCGAAGACGGGACAGTTGACCAAAATCAAAGTGCCCGCGGTGTAGTGCAGCTACAGAAGACGGCAGTTCTACTTTCCCACCTCGTCTATTTCCGTTCCCATATCTAAGGAATCTATATGAAGCAATACTTAGTAACAACCCACTTCGTCCCGAACCAGGACCGTGCTTTTTGCAAACAACTGTCCTCTCTCCCATCACCCGCCTGTCAAGACCTTTCTGGTGGTAACGACGCGCCTAGCTAGCGAGGCCCACGACGACGACGGGTCGTGGGACATACTGTGGCGGGCTTCTCGGGAGGTTTTTGCCCACAGCGGACATGTACGTTTCGTCCAACATCTCGGAGGATGAATAGGAGGCATGCACCGCACAACCGCTGTCAAGGTGCGCAGCCAGGGGCGGAAACTTGCCTGGTAAACCCATCGGCGTTTTGTTTCTCTTTGCGGCAGAGAACCGTGGCGAAATAGTCGAGTATGTGTGGAATAAAAAGATTTTGGTCTCCGAAAGCCCCCCAATGTCTTTCTTTTTTTTGTGCACCCAGCTTGGAGCCAAAAGAATAGCAAGGGCTCGACTGCAGTCTACGAGGACAAAGATTCAGAGGATTCTTCCGAGCTTTCGGGAGCACCAGCAGCTTCTTCTTCTCTCTCAGCTGGCTCTTCTGGCTCGGTGTGCAGCTCGTGCAGGGTGCTCATCAGCCGAGACAGAGCGACGACGAGAGCCAGGGCAATGGCGAAGAGGAAGAGGATAATAATAGCAACGGTGTGATTTGCCTGCAGCATGGTGTCTGGTGGTTGTTCGGCTTTATTTTTTTCGAGGGGTATAGCGTTGCGCCCATCTGAGTCGGCGGCGTTTTTTTGGTGTGTTGAAACTTTTGTTCACCGGTTGTGAGTAGCACACATCATCGTACAAGTTACTACAGAAACAAAGTCAGTCGTACAAATTACAAAGAGTATAAAGCAGAGCAGCTATTATATCAATAGCTGTAGCAAAGGGGACACTGCGACTACAGCAGCCACCCACCCCTTGAGATCGAAATGGTGACCTCGGGGACGTTTTGAATCGTTGGCGATCAGATTATAGAACCATAGCCGCGAGTCTACCAAGAAAAGGGCATCACTGCACAGTGGTGAAATATGCTACAGAATCTTGAAGGCCAAATTCTCACATCACGAGGGCAAGATGCGCAGCAGCAGCTTCGGGACTTGGATGGGCAGAGATCGGTCAAACGCATCATATCAATTCCTCACGCCAATCAAAATACACACGCACGCTTCATTTGGGTATATTAATATGTACAGGGTATCAATTACTTGCAGCCACCCCATCATTCACACCTTATTTGCACGATCAGTGCTTCGGCCTGGGCGTCAACACCGTCACGCCATTCACGCTCCCCCATATACTATCCGACACCTTGGGCGGCAACTTGCGCCCTCGTAGCCGCTGATCAATTAAAAACATACCCACCACAAACTCCTGCCGCGAGAGGTAGCCCCTGCGCCCGCGGTCAACCAGCTCCCACACCTCGGCCAGCTCCTCGGTTGGCAGGCGCGCGCGCTTCCAAATCTCCCGCACCACCACGTTGGCGACGCACTCGGACAGGTCTGTGCCAAGGCCACTGCCGACACTCACCGAGGGGCTCTCGTGCGTGAGCAGCAGGCCGCGGTTTGAGGCCCACAGCGCTTCGTACCGCTTGCGCTCCTTGTCCGTGACCTGGTCGCGCCAACGGCGCCGCGAGCCCTCGTGATGCGTGTGCTTGGCACCGTGCAGCCGGCGCCGGCGGCTCTTCCGCTGCCGGCCGTGGTCGTCCTCGGGCTCGCTTGCGGGTTGGCGGAGGGTCTGGAGCAGGTGCGGTGAGCGTTGGCGCAGGGGTAGTGGTGGTGGTGGCAGGGATGAAGAGCCCGAGCTGTGAGGCGTCAGGCGCGACGAGGCCAATGAGCTCGCCATGATGGCGTTGGTCATGGAGTTGAGTTGCAGCGGATTGGGGGGGTGAGTCGGGCGCTTCCGCGGGGGTTCGTGTGTAGGTGATGGCGGCGCGTTGACAATGGATTCACGTCTGTTTGGCGGCCATGGCTCTGTTTTGCTGATTCTGGGCGTGTCGGGGGTAGTGCTTGATACAATGGGCAAACCCCACATGCTGTGTACGGGTGTCGCTTTTGTGAGAGGAGTGTCCGAGCTGCCGCGTGGCCTACCGCTCGCTAGCCGTGCAGGCGCGAGTCTCTGACTACTTCGTGGCTTTGGTGGTGTGGGCGGTCGCTTCTCAGCATTCGTGCGTTTCTGAGGGTCCGGCGAAGGAGGTGACTGAACATCATACATCGGGCGGAGGATGATGGCGGGTGGCGGCGTGCCAGAGTGAAGGGAAGCGGTCCTGGTTACCCGCGTAGGTTTGGGTGATAGTACTTCTGGGGTTGATCGACTGATGACACGAGGAGTAGGGGACTTGTGTCTTGGTGTTGTAGGCGAGTCCTGTTTGGGAGGCGCGATGTCAGGAATGCGGCCATCTTTTGACGGCTTGGATAATCCCAAAGGGGATGGTTTCCGCACACGTTTCCGACGGGGAGTGACATCTCCAGTGGCATCCAGATTCTTCATTGCGGTTGTTGATAAAGTCTGGGAAGTGACTTTGGAGGGTGTGACAGGATTTGAGGGGCCGTCGGCCTTTCGTGTCGCTCTGACTTTAGGCGGGGTTAACCGAGGCTTGCTTGCTGCCGCTCGAAAGATCGCTTTTGATGCAGAAGTCGGTGTTATCGGAGCCGGCGCTGGCGCAGCCTCCGTGACTGCCGGGGGTGTTGGCGGACGTCGAGGTGCACACGCAGCAGACTTTTTGGCGACTGCTTTGGGGGGTGTCGGCGGTCGCTCATAAGACTGGCCTTTGCCGGTTCGTTGCTTGGAATTCGATTTCGATGTAGGGGGTGCAGATTCAACAGTGATTTGCTTGATGGGAATCGGTGACGGGCGTGTGCTCTTGCGCACTACAGACGGTTCCGTCAAAGACGTTGGTACCTGCCGTAGCCGTGGGGTATCTTGGCCAGCGGCCTCGTCCACTTCAAACATGGAAATGAGCGAAGTCGTCGGAGGAATTGGCTGTGAATCCACGGCGTCCAAGTCCTGCAGCGCATTCACGCTCTGCATCCGGCGAGGATTCCGCAGCGCCGTCACTGTCGGACTCCCACCACGGCTCGCCGCCAGCGTCGCCGCTATGAGGCTTGGGTTCTTAGCGGCAGCTACGGTAGCCGGAAGCTGCGGCGATGCGAGCCCCAGGGCCAGATGCGGCGATGGCGACGTCGAGTGAGCTCGGGGGGCAGTCGTGACCATGGGCGTTGGCGCCGTCGTCTGGCTCGCAGTACCCGCCGTCGAAGACGCGCCCAGCTGTTGCAGACGCGCCACCACCAGTCCCGCGGCAAGGACGGATTCTATCTCGGGCGGAGAGGCATCGGCGGCGACGCGCTGGCCCGGATGGGAGCGTCGAGGGGAGGACCGTGCCGCCGCCGTCGTAGAGCCAGGACTCTTGGCCCGCTCCACCGACGACGTGGCAGCGAGGAGAGCTCCATTCTCGCGGGAGTGCTCCGGTTGGTGTTGGCTCGGTGGCGTGCGCTTTTGAAACGCCAGCGAGGCACCTTGCAGGGCGACGCTGGCGGCGTCGTCTGGCGAACCTGCGGCGCGGGAGCCGACCGCAGGAGTCATCACCAGAAGTTCGCTCGTGGTGACATGAGGGCCGGAAAGGTACACACGAGGTCTCGGTCGCGGAGTTGTTCGATTCGGTCGAGCGTCGTTGCTAGTGGTGGTATCGAGGAGCAAACAGGCACCAGCTGAGAAGCAACGATGGATGGGAGAAAGGACGAGTAAATAAATGAAACGGTAACGAATGAATAGACGGGGGTTGAGAAGAGAGGGAAAAGGACAAAGGAAAAAGGAGAGCAGGAGGTGAGGCGTGGAGTTGGAGGTGAAGGAGTCTGGTGGAGTTCAGAGGTATGCGTATGCATAACAGGGAGATGGGGCAACAGAGAACAGAACAGAGAGGGTCTCGACAGCTCCGACAGGGCGGCAGCTGAAACGGTTGGAAGAGGAGTGTCTTGGCAAAAAACGTTTAAATCTACAGCATAAAAATAGATTCCTACATTCAGAAATGCTTCTAGCTATGAGTACGATACCAAATTTCCATGTTCTGCTCATTCCTCTTTCTCATCATAATTCTTCCCGCCGTGTTTGCCTCGTGTTTGCCTCGAGCCTCGAGCGTCGAGGCTGTCACACTGCGCCACAATGGATTACATCCACCCCAAATCCGACACGGGACGGTGCGGTACGTACCTGCCTCCAAGTAACCTGGTCTGTGCAGCATCGACAGCATCGACACCTTACCGTATTACCAAGTTGTATTGCTAGGTAGTCGACGGGCCTTGGCAAACGTCTTTAATAAGACAAGGTAGCTACACAGTGGATTCAACTTGACATGGCCCATCCTATTCATTGTAGGGGCCTTCTCTCCCATGTTCTCTTCCTCACATATCCTTCAAGGCAAAAGGTGCAAAAGTCAACAACGCTGTACATTGTTCTGTAAATATACCTCCTGATAGTAGCAGAAAAAAAAGAGCCACAAGTAAAACAAGATATCCAACGCCGTTGCCTGATATTCCCAGTAGAAAAAAAAAGACGAGAGAAAAAATCATCTCACAAACGTGCCATTCCAGAAGAGCGATCGCGTGGTACTCTCATCCACAGAAATGGCATTCTCTTTCCCGTTTTTCTTCCCTTTCCAACAGTGTACACAAATTAAGCCGCCCATTCTCCATTCCAACAGCTGGAAAAAGAGAAAAGACCAAAAAAGACACAATAGATACAACAGAGCCTCGCCGCGCCGCCACATGACCGGGTGCGATCGAAAACAAAAAGATAGACCAAGAATATGTATACGTATCCCAGTACGTAGTCGATTGAACACAAACAAGAGACAATTAAACAAAATTGTGCACCAGAGAGGGGAGCGCAAGCAGTTTCGCAAAGTTCCCGGCCAAAAAAAAAAAAAAAACAAGTGTGGTTTTCATGAGATGCATCCTTGGCTTCGTGTCATGTCGTGAATATTTCACGCGTCTGCATCATTGTCGCTTTTTCTTCAAAATACTTCAGAGTCGCCCCATTCACTCCCAGATACGATGCGGTTCCCGTCTTCATCAATCATCACCGGGCCGGTATAGCCAATCGGCGGCGGGATGCCGCGCAGTCGCTTCGGCTGCACCGTCGCCGCACCGTGGTCGTACTCGGGCTCTTGGCGCTTACACCGCGCCGCGCGTAGCTTGGCGTAGTAAGCGTCCGAGGCATCGGGTTCCGGCTCGCTGTTATCGTCGTACGTTTCCCAATTCTCAGACCCAGAAATGGCCGTCGAGGAGGTGCTCGAGATTTGCCGCGGCGGTCCCTCGGGCGTATAGCCATACTGCCCAGCTCTTATGGTGGCGTATCGGTCATCGCCATAGTCGGAGCGCTCCTGCGAGTCCTGCGAGTTGTACCGCCCGCCTCTGGACATCGGTCGTCTGTCGTCGTACACGTCCTCGGGCTGCATCGTGCGGACAATCGTCGTCCCCAGGCCCGTGCCCTTGTAGGGGTTCAACGGCGTTTGCAGCTCCGGCACAGACTTGAGATCACGCATCTTAGGAGGTGGTGCTCTCATCGGCGCGCCGTTGCGCAACATCTCCCCCCGGGACTCTGGCCGCGGTCTCTCGGGCGAGTTGTTGCCGTGCTTCATGTTAGAAAGTGGTGCGCGCGCAGGGATTCGCGACGGGCTAGTCCGGCCGTTACGGGTCGGACTGGCATTTCTGGCTATAGTAGACTGTGTTGTTGTCGGAGCGTTCCTAGGCCCCGTGGCTGTGGGGGTCTTGGTCATTGTCCGAGGCGGTACCGACTTGGCAATGTTGCCCTTGTGCCCAGATTTGGGCATCTTGACAGCAGACGGTGGTGCGCCGGCCGGCGTCTTGGATCGGGTTGCCGGCACGGCCTTCTTTGAACCTTCGTCGTCACACTCGTCCAGATATCTCTCGCCAAACACGAGAAAGGGGCGTCCGTATTCATCCTCCCACCGCTCCAAAACCCTCATCACTTCGGCAGCGACCTTGGGAAGCTCCTTGGCAATGCGCTTCCTCATCTTTTCCTCGCGCAAGAGCTTGCCAGGGTCCCGCTTCTCGCCCTTTTGTCCGCGCAGCATGAGTCGCGAGGCATCCTGGCTGGAGCTAGCGAGTTCGTCGCGCTCCTTGATCAAACACTTGTGGCGGTCCACCAGGGCTAGCACGGGGGCGCGTTGCTCCTTGAGAGCCTCCAATCTGGCAACCTCGCGCTCATGCGCCTCGAGAAGGGCGTCGCTGTAGACATCAGAAAAGGCGGGCGTGAATTCGAGCATCTCGTCTTCCGAAAAGTACAGGGCGTCCCACAGCGCTTGTAATTGGACGCGCGAGTCTTCGACAAACAGATGCAGATTTTGGCGTTTCATTTCGTTCAGTCGAGCCAGCTCGTCCTCGAACTCATTGATCTGGCGCAGACCGCAACCGCGGTTGGCGTTGCCAAAGGCTCTAGTCTCGGCTTCGTCGATGCCAAGTTTCATCCAGAGCGCCTCGACCGCCGCCTTGAGATCGCGCAATTTCTTTTCGCGGTTCTTCTTCTCATCAGCCAGGCGATCCTTTTTGGACTGCAGACGCTTGATATCTTCTGTGTGGAGTCCCAGCTGCTCAGGTGCCTCACGGTAGTATTTGACAACGGCGCCCTCTTGTTGGGCTTGAGGGGTGCCGAGCTCGACCCATAGCTTGATAATGGAGTCGGCCAGCGACTGGACCGTTGTGATGCGACGGGTGTATTCGTCGTAGACACGGGTGAACTCGCGATCTAGACGGTCAACATAGGAAGGTGAGAGGTCAAAGTTGGTCGGAATAGACTGGTTTGGGCCTGTGGGTGGTAGTGCAATCTGAACAAAGGTAGGGTCAAGATGCGACGAGTACGACTCGAGTGCTTGAACAAGCTCTTAGACAACATTAGCAGGCGTCTGGCTGGCAATTGTTACTTTCACATACTCTTTACTTGCTCAAAGCGCTCTCTATGCAAGCGAGCAATGTCCATTTGCTTTTCTTTGAGATTTTGCAGGCAAAGGTTGAGGGGGTATGTTATTGTAATCTCGTCAGTGTCATAGTCTCGCCGACTCTTGGAGTCGTCGAGCGACGCCTCCATCTCGCGAATTCGCGTGATGATGGTCTTTGCTTCGTCAATCAGTTCCTTCTTTTCGGTATTGACGAGGCGGACTTGGTTGTTGAGGGCCTCGGAGAGAGCCGAGAAGAGCTGTCGCAGAAAGCTGGTTAGCATACAAACGCGCCGGCTGCCTTGCTGGCAAGGAGGCCTACCTCGGACTCGCGAGCCTGACGCTCATGCGTAGGGACGCCAATCTCGTCAAACAGGCTGTGCAGCTGACCAATGCTGCTATTGACCTGCTGGGCCAAGTAGCTGGTATCCATGGTGAGCCGATGATGCGCCTGCGCGGCGTGAGGCGCGATGTGACCGGATCGGTGGTGATCGAAGCAAGGGAAAATAAATTCTCAGATCCGAGGAGGCGCCGGGATGCGAGACCTTCTTTTTGGGTTCGGGCAAGAAAATAGAAACGTTGGTGTCTGTCGGTCGGGACGGAGGGCTGGAATGCTGTTGTTTACAATGATTGGATAGGTGGTGCGACTGCGGGTGCAGAGGGGGATAAGTTGACAAGAATTTAAGAAGAGAAGAAAAGAGGAAAATCAGTGATCGTCAGAGCATCATATCATGCGCCGTAGGGAGTTGAATGACTGGAGAGCCCGTTGGTCTGTCATTCCATGTCGTGATGGAAATGTTGGGCGACGTGATTCTGCAGTGTGTCAGACAAGAGGTTTGAGGGACAAGAGGGTGGTTTGCATGTCAGTGGTAAATGTACACAAACACCAATAATAGTGCCAAAGGTACGGGTACTCAGACAACACGATGTAGCGCTGTTCAGTGGGCTGCTTCGCCCTGCAAGCGCTGTAAAATCCGCTGTTTGACTGATATCAGCCCCGCATCTGATGTTGTCACGGCAACCACCACTGCAAACGCGCCTTTTATCCTGTATCTCTCTTCAAATGCCGTAACTACCTAGTCATGTACAATACAAAATAGACCAAATAGAACTAGTGGCAGTTTCAGACTCAATTGCTTCTCTCCGCTGATTGGCGTCCAAGCGGCTTCTCGCCAAGTCAAGCTTTTTATGCGCATACACCAGCACCCTGCACACTTGTGCTACGCTTCCCGCCCGTCTCCCCATGGAGTACCGTTGTTTTGACTGATAATCAGCGGCTTGCATCAGACGACATCTCACCATCCTGCCCGTGTTCACAGTACATAGATAGCTGAATCTGGGGGTTTCACAATAAATTACGCGTCGAAACTTATACGGCTCTATCAATTGTTGGTGGGATGTCGGGTGTCGAACAGCACTTGCAATGGAGCCCCCAGTCATCAGCTTCAAGATGTAGAATCGTTGTGCGTATCCAACCACCAAACCCTATAATCAATGACCAAATGACGGCACACCCTACGCCCAAACACCAGGACACGGAACGACCTTCGAGTAGCAATCAGTTTCTACCTGACGTAACCTACATGCCATTGCGTTGCGCAGTGCAGGGTAGCAGTCTTAGACGGGTCGCCAATCTAGAGGACCTGCATCCTGCAGTGTCCAGAAGCGTCTGGAGCCTTGCCAACTAACTATGCGACTGAATTCAAAAGCGTCGTCAAACTCACCCGGCGAGCCCTTCCAGCACTTTTCAACGTACTGTCGTCCTCCCAAACCATAGGTACAAGCTTCAGGCTTCTAAGGCATGTTAATGCGGCTCACCACCATACCGTAGCCAAGCAATACACACTGCAAATGAAATCAATTCAACGCCAACAGCACTCACGAAAACTGACATCCAAAACGGGAAGTGCACACTGAACTACACAGTATTGTATATGAACCCATCTACCAACTGTCTCCCCAGCCATCGTCATCGTCATCTGCCTTCGGCGCCAGGTCAATCTTCTTGGCCGCCACCGGCTTCGCCTTTGCCGTAGGCTTCACAGGCACCTTCTTTGCCGCTGAGCCCGCCACCGGCTTCGCCTTTGCCGCAGGCTTTACAGGCACCTTATTTGCCGCTGAGCCCGCCTTTACCAAACCCTTCGGCAGCGCCTTCCCGCCAGGCTTCTTCTGCGACTGCGCTGCCAGCCATCCCGCAAAGTCAGGCTCCCCCTCGTCAAATGGTGTCGCCGATGCCGTCGCGGGCGCCGACTTTGCGGCCGGCTGGCTCGCGGCCTCGCCCCAACCGGCGTCGTCGTCCACGTCGTCCATGTCACCCCAGCCGCCGGCATCGTCGTCACCGTATAATTCTTCCGCCACGGCACTGGGAGTGGGGGACGGAGCCGCGGTGGAAGCGGGTGGCGATGCGAGCACCTGTCTGTGCAGCGTCGATGCAGAGGATGTCGGCTTGCACCCATCTGCGGCGGGCGAAGATGGCGCTTTAGGGGAGGGCGCCGACCCATTGGTCGTTTGCATCTCTCCCGCTGCTGTTGACATCTTGTTGGTAAAGGACGAAATGGCCCAACCGGTCCAGCCCTGCGAGCCGGCAGTGGGTTGAGGGGTACTCATGCGAGCGGCCTGGCCGTCTCCAATCTGTGTCGGCGGTAGTACCGAGTCTGGCATGTTTGCGGTTGCCTTTTTGATCTTGGCGACGTATGTGTCCATCGCACGACTTGCCTGGTCACGTACGAGTTTCTCCTTGTCCATGAGCAACGGGCAGAGCACAGGCAAGATGCGCGTTGCGCAGTCTTCCTCTGTAAAATACTCCAATGTTGCTGCTAATGACATCAATGCGGCATTACGGGCATGAACGAACGGGTCTCGCATCGATCGTGTAAATGCGGCAATGAGGACCTTGGATCTCGAACCGGGTCCCAGGTGCTTTGCAATTTTCCCTAGACAAATCGTCGTGTTGGTACGAATCCCCGGTTGTTCGTCGTTGGCAGCCTTGGCAAGATGTTTGAGCAATTCGCCATTGATTGTGCGATCCGAGAGCTTTGTGATTAATACCAAGACTGACTTGAGCGTTTGCTCACGCACAATAGGGGCAGCGTCTACGAAACCGGTGACCTGAAAATGTAGTTAAAATCTACGTGCATAGGAAAAGCCTGCCAAAAGGACTTACGATTTGGGGAAAGATTTTGTCATTGACAATCTTTTGTGGTAGTTGGTCGATGATCAGAGGCAGGCTATCTAGCAGACACACTCGGATGGCGCGGTCGGGGTTGCCAAACATTCTGACGATAAAGGGAACCATCTTGGTCTCAAAGTCGTCCTGTGACAGTTTCGAGGCAATCTTGAGCACGACGCTGATAGCCTTGGGTCCACCACCACCAAACTCTACCGACTTCATTAGTTCCGGCAGAACCTTCATGATGAAGAAGTCCTCTGGAAAGTCATCTGATACCTGCTCCAGGTCGCTTGTGATTGTTAGTATTGGAGTTGGCAGAACGACAGCGAGCACGTACTCTAGAAATTGCTCGCGTTCTTCTTCCGATTTGATCCCCAGGTTATCAATGTCTTCGGTGAGTTTGATGAGTGGCGTATCAAAAAAACTATCGCGACGGCTTCCTTGGTCAAGGAACGTTGACACGGATATGCGAGCTTTTGGGTTCGCGTTGCAGAGTCGCTTGTAGCTCGAGTGCATTGTGGGAGGAACGTTGCGAGTTTGTCCAGCACTGTCATGGCCGTTATAATCACCATTGAAAACCTCGTATATCAGCACACCATAGTTAAATGCATCAACGGCCGAGTGAGGGTTCTTCTTGATGACATCCCATCCGCCTTGCACGACCTCTGGAGGCGAATACCGGGCCGAGTCTGGCGCCAAACTCCCGTACGTCTGTTTCTGTTAGTGTGATGTACAAGTTCCTGTACGGAGGATACTGACATATATGGTAGATTCGTCCTCCTTAACACTGCTGAGGATTTCGAAGCCGCCTAGTTTCCACTCGCCACTTTCAGAAGTATATACCGATCCGACCTTGATACAGCCATGAATGGAGGAGGCGTCAGAGTTGATAAATTTCAGCGTCCGCTATCAGCAGTTAGATTTTGTACTGTGTCAGCCATTTATCATGGACTCGTACCGCAATGCCGTGGAGACCCCATTTTATTGTTTCTGGACTCATTGATTTACGTCGGACGTGCCATCGCAATGGGACAACTCGCTCGGTGGCGATATAAATATACGTTTCCGTCTGTGGCAGTGTTAGAAAATGCCAGAACAATTTCGGGACATTGCGCCCACCTCTACCGTGTCAAGAACCTTGATTACACCAGGGTGGCGGATGGTGCGAAGCTTTCGAAGGCCGTTTCGAGCGAGGGGCAGCAGACCTCTGTGTGCGGTAACATCGAAAGAAAAGATGCTACAGTTAGAGCCGTCCTCCTATGGATATTGTTAGTCCTTATCGAAACAGAGAGTTCTATTGGCTTGCCTTCTTGATACCATTGTACAAGTTCCAGATGGACTCGTCCACGTCGACCTTGTCACCGAAGCTATAAGGGAACGGCGGCCCTTTGGCCATGGCGGAGGCCACGGCCGACTTGAGGAAATCCATGGTTGACAGACCCTGCGCCCGCGTGGTAGGGTGTCTGTAGTCTTGGTAAGAGAGGGTTCTGGAGAGGGGCGCATCCAGCAAGGTTGTCGTGAAGCTGGAAATGCTACGCGTGGCGGAAAGACATGGTGTTAAATGCCCCGCGCTAGCACGTGTAGGTTCGGGTTAGGCGCTGGGGAGCTGAAGGCAGTGTAAGCGACAACAGACTTTACATAAATCTGCAATGGAAAGACGCTTTCAAATTTTTGTCTTACACGCTTACAGGTACAAAGTGCCACTGATTGCTTCTAATTTGAGGCCGTAGCCTTGGTGAACTGCAATGCTGCCCAGGTCCTGCTTCTCACCAAATAAATCTTATTGGAACCCCCGCGCCAGTGTTTGCAGCGGGCATTTACAGGGCCTCACAGCGGTTTAGAGGTACTTAGTACCTGTAGAGAGGAGGTCTTGCTGCCACCAATTTTGGAAGGCGGTCTCGTCTGGCAGTCACCCGACAGCTTGGTCCCGCCTCCCGACATTGGATTGGTCCAAAACCGATGGCATCGAGCACCCCAGCCTGTTATGCGGGAGCAGGCTCCGGCTGGCTCTCTGTATGGTTTTCCACATTCTTTCATACACATTGCCTCCAAGGCACTGAGATTGCACTCCGGAGCTCGCCCTCGTGTCGTCTGGATTTGCACGACTGGCACCTTGAGACCCAGTTGCACAAGCACACTCGATGCTCCTCCACCCACACCGTCAGTTGCCGCCACCGGTACGTCGCCCCAATTAATTCTTCTGTATTTTTTGCCCTGCACTCTTCAAAACTCGAATGATGCCAAATGGTAAAAGGTCTGACCAAACGAAACCAACTGGGGCCTGTGTCGCCTACTTGGCGCCGCCGTACACCGGCGGCTAGCCGCATGTCTGCCCAGTCAGGCGTAGCTGCAGAGACTGTTTTGTCTTCTTTGCCGTTCCTGATTGGCGCACAAGAAAAGCCTACTTCCACCACAATTTGGAGCCTCGGTCATTGCTGCTCAACTGATCTAGGCCAAAGGCCGTGGTGGACAAGTCGCTGCGTAGTCGCAGTCTAGGGACACAGGAACCGTTGCGTTCCAAGCTTGAAGTCACAAAAGAAAACTGAAAAGATCTGACGAGAACCCTTCTGATATGCTTTCTGCTTTGCTATACAAGTAGCAACACGCGCTGACCACAACGCTATTAGACATACCTAATGTGCAGTCCGCGGGTCACCAAGAGCGATCACTTTGCCGCGGTGGCTCGACTGTCATTGCGTGGATACCGAGTCATGCTGTATCCGAGACTCGCGAAAATAGGCAGATTTAAGTGCTGAAACTGCCCTTGAACCACTATGAGCCTTCATGCCGCCAGACAGCCGACTGGGCCCAACTCACCAATTCCAAGCTGCGGCAGTGAGGGCAGCGGGCCTTCGAAGGCTCCTGTCATCGCTGCGAACAGGGTCACAAAACCGAGAAAGACGGCAAAATGGACCCGAGGACGGTTTTCATTCTATGAAAGCCCTAGTAGCTCCCGAGTTCGGCGCCAACAGCCGCATGTGTCTACTTCCTCTGAGAAACTCCTAGAGCGGACGACCGCACTGCCGGCAACTGCCATTTCTACGCCTGCAGTGGTCGGCCCAAGTGGCAAAGGACAGAAACCAACAGCTGGCAAGCAAACAACTGGAGATGATGGAAGTCTGGGGCCACTTTCGCGTTTTCACACAAATGGAGCAAACCTGCAGCCACTAAACCATACCCTTTCAACCCCTGCCAGAGACATCAACATGGCTGATGGGACAGGACACGAGATGATGGATGCCTTTGATTCTGCAACCCTCAATGCTGCTGCTGTCGGCGCTGCTGGAGCTGATATGGTGCCCCGCTCCTTTGATTACACAGACCTTACTGTCTTGTCCGACGGCAGTGACAATGATAGAGACGCGACTGCTGGTTTACCCACATTCAAAGCCAAAGTGGCAGTTATGCATGATTTACCGCCCGCTTTGCCAGAAGCTGAGAGTTTCGCAGAGGTGTATTCATGTGGCTCTACGGCACAAACTACAAAAGTCGAGCCTCTTCAAACGCAGACGTCACTACATACGGAAGTCCAGGTCACGGTTTCAGGTGCAAGCCGAGAAATTATATACATCGACAGCAGCGGCGAAGAGAGTGAAGAAAATTACGAGAGTGAGAGAAACGACGACAGCGAGAGAAACGACGAAAGTGACGAAGATTACGAAAGCGAGAGAAACGACGAGAATGAGAAAAGCGACGAAAGTTACGAAGACGACGATAACGACAGAAACGACGAGGACGCTTCTTCACCTATACGGCGTCTAACTTTGGAAGAGTCGTGCTGCGATATGCCAAATTCGAGGCACCGCGCAATACCGATCAGCGACATCTGCGCCCCGGAAACGACACACGCTGCTATCTTTGTAGCCACTCAAAATGCAACAGTCGAGACTGAATCGTCGGAGGATAATGTCCCGCTAGCTATTTTGCGCAGGAATCGTCTCGGGAACAAACACAAAATGAGGGACAACCAGGTCACCAAACTTACCCTTGTGAATCGGCCCACGTCGCCGCCAAAACTTTCTCCTAAACGAAGAAGGCAAAGCCGAATTTTCGACTCGGACGCCTTTGATGCCGCGATTTACATCCAGAGCGAACTACAACCGCCCCCCGGCGTAAAGGTTCCTCGCCCCACAAAGGCATCCAGCGCTTTCCCCCCCGACGCGAGGATCTTTGTCCCAGCCAACCCGGCAATTCACGGCCCTGTGGTGCGCTCCAAAAAGTGGTGGAAAGACAAGAGGCGGGAGATTCGCGACCGACCGAAGCGCAAGACGTGGTTCGGAAAAGTGACGCAGCGGATGCGCTGGCTCTACAACAAGCAGATGGCGGCGGAGGCAAAGCGTCAGGCGCCCGTACGGGGCGCGGCAGGGCGCCGGACGCGACAGGATCCCCAACCGGCCGCGTACAAGCGCATCATAGACTTTGGCGACGTTCCGGCGGACCGGCTCCCGGCGGACGTGCTCAGCACACCTGGCTGGGCCAAGGCCTGCGAGTGGCAGCGGAAGATGAGGGAACAAGACGTGGCAATGGAGCGGCAAGTGGAACACAGTACACACATGGCGTGGCAGCATTTCCAAGGTATATTGATGGAAACAGATTAGTCTGTATGGAGTTCCTTCTGGGTGGTAGACCTCTGTATCTGTACAGGTACGTTGCTTTGGAACAGGACTGAGGTGATGCATTTTCTGGCGTGAGAGTACAAACACACAAATGACAGTACATTTGGCAGACTTGAAATGGTCCAGACTACGGCAGCATAGCGTATTGTGACTTTGTGAATATATGGAAAGACCAAGAATGGGTTTGGCGGACCACTGGCGTACAAAATGTGATGCACTTCGCATGTAAAAATCGTGTACTAAATCGAAAGTCAATTCCAATAAGAGTTGACCATGACATCAAGTACTTGAAATGGTGAGTAGGACAATACGAGAAATAAGAAGACAAGAATAAATAAAAACAACGCCAACAAAGAATCTACAAAAAAAAAAGGCCTCGCCGACTCCAATGAAATGACGCAAATCAACCATTTGCTTTTGTCCTCCGCCTCACCACACGTCCCTAGACGCCCTTGGCCAGCAAGTTCAGCGCACTGCCAGCCAGGACAAAGCCCGCCTGGTCCTTGCTAATCGCATGCTTGGTCGCAATCATCAACTCCTCCCCGCCGTCCTTCTTGGTCACCCTCAGCGAGACCTCGCCGCGGCCGCCGTTGCGCAGCATGTCATACAGCCCGACCGTGGCGACCTCGTCCCCCGCCGCGATCTTGTCATAGTCGGCCTCGTCGGCAAACGTGAGCGGGACGACGCCCTGCTTCTTGAGGTTGGTCTCGTGGATGCGCGCAAACGACTTGGTCAGGACGACGCGGGCGCCGAGGTAGCGCGGCTGCAGCGCGGCGTGCTCGCGCGCCGAGCCCTCGCCGTAGTTGTGCTCGGCGACGACGAGCCAGTCCTGGCCGCGCTCCTTCCAGCGCGCCGCGAGCGCGGGGATGGTGTGCTGGCTGCCGTCGAGGTCGTACGCCCCGTTGACCTCGCCCGTCTCCGCGTTGACGGCCGTGTTGAGCGTGTTGGTGGAAATGTTGGGCAGGTGGCCCTTGTACTTGAGCCACGGACCCGCGGCGGAGATGGTGTCGGTCGTGCACTTGCCCGTGACCTTGACGAGCACCCGCAGCCCAGACAGGTCAGAGGCCGGAAAGGCAGGAAACGGCTCCAGCAGGGCCAGCCGCTCCGAGGTGGGCGCCACGGCCACGGCCACGCTCGGGTCCGCGGGCTGGGAGAGCACGCCGAGCGCGGCCACGCCCGCGTCAAACGGCGTCGCGGGGCCCTCTTTGCCCTGCGGCGGGGAGAATTTAAAGTCGCGGCCGTCGGGCGTCTTGAGCGTGTCGGTGACGGGGTTGAACGTCGTGGCGCCGGCAAAGGCCATGGCGGTGACGATTTCCGGCGAGGCGAGAAAGTTCATCGTCGCCGGGTTGCCGTCGTTGCGGCCGCGAAAGTTGCGGTTGTACGACGTCAGGATGGCATTCGGGGTGCCTTTTTGCACGCCGTCCCGGCGCTGCCACTGGCCGATGCACGGCCCGCAGGCGTTGGACAGGACCACGCCGCCGGCGCCCGCAAACGCGGCCAGCGTGCCGTCGCGCTCGAGCGTTGCGCGAATCTGCTCGCTGCCGGGGGTGATGTAGAAGTCGGCAGCGGGCTTGAGCCCGGCGGCCGCGGCCTCTTTGAGGAGCGACTCGACGCGCGTCATGTCCTCGTACGACGAGTTGGTGCAGCTGCCGATGAGGCCGGCCGAGAGCGCCTCGGGCCACTGCTGCTCCTTGACCACGTCCTTGAACTTGGACAGCGGCGTGGACAGGTCGGGGGTGAAGGGCCCGTTGATGTGCGGCTCCAGTTCGGACAGGTTGATGGTGATGCGCTCGTCGTACTCGGCGCCGTCGTCGGCGCGGAACTGGAAGCGTGCGTCAGAGGTCGTGCCCGCGCCGGGAAACGCTTGCAGCGCGTCAATGTTGGCAACGGCCTGCGAGCGGCGCGTCGACTCCAGGTAGCGCTTCGACGCCTGCGTATACGGAAAGATGGACGTCGTCGCGCCGACCTCTGCCCCCATGTTCGTGATTGTGGCCATCCCGGTGCAGCTGAGCGACTCGACGCCGGCGCCAAAGTACTCAATGATGTAACCGGTACCGCCGCGAACGGTGAGCTCGCCGGCCAGACGCAGGATGATATCCTTGGGCGAGGCCCAGCTGCTGAGCTGGCCAGTGAGTTCCACGCCCAAGATCTTGGGCGCCTTGAGCTCCCACGGCGCACCAACAAGCGCCTCGACGGCGTCCGCGCCGCCGACGCCGATGGTAATGGTGGTGAGGCCGCCGGCGTTGGGGCTGTGGCTGTCGGTGCCGAGCATCATGAGCCCTGGCAGGGCGTAGTTCTCCAGCACCGTCTGGTGGATGATGCCCGCGCCGGGCGGCCAAAAGTCCATGCCGTACTTGCGCGCGGCCGACTCCAAAAAGTCAAACACCTCCTTGTTGGTCTCGATGCCGGCCGTCAGATCATCGTCGGCGCCCTTGTGCCCGACGATCAAGTGGTCGCAGTGGATACTAGCCGGGATCGCGGGCCGTGCCAGGTTGCACGACATGAACTGTAGCAGGGCCATCTGCGCCGAGGCATCCTGCATGTTGACGCGATCCGGGTTGAGACGCAGGTTGGCGCGGCCGCGGACGCTGCGGCCATTGTCGGTGTTGGTGAGCAGCGAGTCTTCCACGTCGTGCAGGTGGCTGTAGAGAATCTTTTCGGCGAGGGTGAGGCGCTGGCCGGCGAGGACGCGACGGACCTCGGTGTACTTGTTGAAGAGGCGCTCGTAGGTGGGTGGCAGCGAGGTGGCCGTGGAAAGGGCGCGCGTGAGGTTGAGTCTACGCAGGGCAGCGGCTCCGGAGCCGGAGCTTAACGCAGCAGAGCGGACAAGGGTCTAATGGGTGGGGAGGTATTAGAAAATGACTGTCAAAAATTATTGGGGAGCAGCATACTGTCATGGCACCTCCAAGGCGACCGGCCATTGCCATTGGAGCCATTTTGTGCGATGGTTTGGTGGACGGGTGGACAGGATAGGGTGACTGACACGGACGAAAAGATGCTGGGGATTTTTCTTTTGCCCCGGTTGCTCGGCTGCGTGGTCGGAGTGGGGGCGGAGGTAATTATTTACAACAATCAGATTGGCCTGTGACGTTTTTTTGCAGGTGATAAAAGAGGGTCTGGGGGCTGACCTTTGGAAATTGCCAGCACTGGATTGGCTTAGGTCAGGGCTTGGCTACAGGGCATGTTACAGAGCACGCCTGCACTGGGCAAATCGGAAGCTCGGGAACAGGACTTTTTTGTCTCTAATAAAGATGAATAAAAAATATACGCAGTTTCTCTTGACGATCTATGTTCCTCTGCATTTTTCTCTTCATCTTCATCCCCTACAAAAGGCCAATGGCCATTGCAATGTTGCTGCATCTGTCGCTTCAGTTCTGGGTCCGCAATCTGTTCCTCGATTAATCACCACCCATCAGGCCAACGAATACATGCCACCCTGATATACCATCCTGATATACCATACGTGCTTTTACAAAACCAAATGTCTGCCTGGATATTAAGTTGACTGCCGCGCGTCCGTCCTATCCTACAATACGCAAGCAGTCAGGAAACTCATCCTTACGTTAACTGACTTCCAAATTTTCTCAACACATCCCTATCCCAGAAACGATAAAAATAAAAAGGCCGCTCATCCATGTGAATCTAAAACGCCCTCGCCGCGCCGTCCGCATCTTCCAGCCACAGCGCCGCAAGATCCTGCGCCAATCCCAGCCGCAGCCTGCGCAGCACCTCGTCGCTCTTGGTCGACGCCTGCCACTGCTTGCGCCAGTCCCAGCCCCTCTCGACCCGGCCCGTCTTGTGCAGCTGGCTCACCAGCATCGAGCTGCCCGTCATCATGTAGCTGCTCGCCCCCAGCGCGTTGGTCGACTTGAGCAGATCCGCTGGCGTCGACCCCTTGAACCCTTGCCCAGAGGCCAGCACCAGTTTGAAGAACTCGTCGCACGCCTCGTACACGCGCGAGCCCACTGTCTGTAGGTCCTCAATCGCCTTGAGAAGAATGTCGATCTGCTCGAGAGACACCGTACAAGGCTTCTGGCCTAGGAACACTGTAGCTTCTCCTAGCAGGGCAAGCAGGAAGTCTTCGCTGATGACCGCATCTCGTGCGTCGTCGTAGAGACCGCCACGAATATTATCGTCTGAGCTAGAAATGGCTGCCACCAGTGCAAGCGCAGCCTTCTTCCGTAGCGACAATGCCTTGGACGACGACGCATCTTCATGCGCATATTCGTCTCGCAGCTCGTAAAACTTGCGAAGTGTCGCGTACCCACTCAGCATGCGACCAAGTAGTTGTGCTGCTTCGAGATCCTGCTCCGCTCTTCTCTCCAACGTCGCTGAGCGGTTTCGCAAGAGATTCTTAAGTTCATTATCCAGCTCCGTTTCTGCTGGATACGCTGTGGACTGAACCAGCGAGTACGATGTGAGCAAGTTCAGTACCTCGCGAACGCGCTCCGTCTTGTGCGACAGCGCAAAATACCATAGCGCTTCACCATAGCGGTGTGATTCCTTGGCCAGGATGTCCGCAAATGTCTACTCCAAGTCAGTTTCTCAAGTCCAAAGTCTCGACAGTCAACGGCGCTTACCTCGGCAGTCTCCTCGGCAAAGTTCATCATGCCTAGCTCATTAAGTATCCTCCACATCTTGTCTACCGTGTGACCCGAGTGCTGGGTAAGTGTTGCAAGCAAGTCTCGTAAAAGTTCGCCCACAGTCTGCTCTGACTTGTCTGCAAGATCCATTCGACCCAGAACCTGAATCGCTATTTCCCAGCCGTCTCGTTGCGGGGACATATGCTCGATGCCGGCTAGTTCCCGGGCATAGAGCACCAGTGTTGTATCTTTGATTCCTTGCTTCTCATCTTCGGACGGCTGTGTGATTCCAAGAAGCGCCAGATCGTCCATGTCGAGACCATCTGATGGCAAATCAGTGGCCAATTTTGTGGGCGGAAGCCACTCGCCAAGCGAGGCAATCTCCGCAACCGAGCATGAGACGGGTAGCGACCAGGTTCGGAGGCACCCAACCACTGCTGTGACGTTACCTTCGAACGTAGAGGCAAGCGCAACCTCAACGGGATCCATCGTATTGGGATTTAGATCAGACTGGATGACCTTGTGGAAGGCATCAGAAAGTCGGTCTAAGTAGTCATCGGAAGCCCCGAATCGGCTCGTCGAAGCGTTGAAACGGCCCTGTGTGATACGCAGATGCTTGCGCCGCTGTGTGCTGTCGTCCCACCATCCGAAAAGTCCCACCGTAGCCTCGCACCAGTCCTGAGCAGTCTCCAAAATGGCCTCGTGGTCGCCAAGAACGATACCATACACCGTTTGCAGGTGTTCGTAGACATCCCATGGGAGCTGGCTCGACGCTTCCTTTGCCATTGTGGTCATGGACTGGGCGGGAGAGCCGTAGCCGCCATTATAATCATCCATCTGCGCTTCGCGACCCTCTGCGAAAAGAGTTAGTCTATCCAATGAGCCCTTGGCGCGTACACGGAACAGAGTCCAGGCGCTGTTCCAGATATCCCAGTCGCCGTTAGCGGCAGGGCACTGTTCCAGGACCTCACAGGTGGCAGCGGCAAAGCGTCGGACATTGTCAAAAGCCTTGCCCGTATATGCCTTTTCTCCACGCGTGCCTTTGCGTACGTGCTCCCATCCAGCATTCTTCAGCAGATGGGACGCACCAGTGACGTTTCCTCGGAGTAAGGCGTTTCGCAAGGTTTGCCAGAACAAGCTGTGACATGCTGGACTGGGCTTGTATCGACTAATTTCGCGAACTTGGTCGGGGAAGAGATTGTGACTGGAATCCAGCCAGCTAAAGAGGACCTCTGGCAGCGGCGGTGTCTTTTCCTGCTCGGTCTCGGGGTCGAATCTTGTGTGGTGGATGCGGAGAATCAGGTGGGCGACGAACGCGGCCTTTTCAAAAGGCTGGGCCTTCGTGCCGGGGCCAATAGACGCAAAATCCTCTCCTTCGGGTTCGGGAAAGGTTTCTACGTAATCATTCCAGAGTTGAATCAGGCGATACGAGATAGTGGCAAGGGAATTGTCCATCTTGTCCACGTCTTCTTCGGCCCCTACGCCATCCTTGTACAGACGACAGACGAGAGCCTCGTTGCTGAGAATCAGATCAGTCGGCTCGCTCAGAGTAGCGGCGTCTTGGCTCGTATAAATGTCTCTCGCGATGGTACCGAATCGGAACTCCTTGTTTTTCGTGGACGCGCCAAAGTGTGCAGATGATCGACGGAATATGTCTTCGGCTTCCTTGCGGGCCTTGTGGGTAGCGGCGGGCGTATTCAGCATGATGAGGTCGTCGCCCTCGCCGATGATGGGCTGGCCATATGGTCTATCATCGTGTCGCATGTTAAGGAACATGTCGCCTTGCTCAGATCCTTTGTCGTCGAGCGTGAGGCCTTCGTCCGCGGTTTGCTGCTGCATGGCCATTTCTTGCAGAAGAAATCGTTCAATCTCGGCCTCCATATCATCGCCATCCGCATCAGCCTCAGGAGCTTGATATGCGTCAGTGTGCGACATGCGGAAAAGGCTGCCGCGCGGGGGAGGCAGCTCGTCCTCGCCCTCGGCATCCACATCCTCGCCTTCGGCGTCCTCATCGAAGTTGAACTGTCGACTTAAGCCAGACGGGCCCAGCTCGCGCCCTCGGATAGAGCGGCCGAGCGGCGCGTTGCTGGCATCGCTTCGTTCAAACAGTGTGCGTCCGGCAAAGCTGGGTTTGCTGACGCCGCGCATGATGGAGCTGCCGAGGAAGGCATCCGAGGGCGCTCCTGCAGGCGTCGTCGAGGCGGCAGACGAGGGCGGCGGCGGCCCTCCAGGTGTCGTCGAGGGCTGGCCGCCCAGATCAGGTAGGCCATAGCTGCGCTGCGGCCATCGGTCGGGTGTTGAGGGCGCGCTGCTGGGTGGGCTACTGTCGGGCACCACGAATCGGCTGGCCATGGCTGTGCAGGTCCGCGTCACGGGGGAGTGCAATGCCACAGGAAAGATGCGCAGCAAAAAGTCACAAGAGAAGTGATGATGCACGCTGGAGCAGTCTGCCTTGATTCGCACGCGTCCCGAACGTGTGAGGGCAATGGCCTCGTATCACGATTCAAAAAAGAGAGCTTGGAGTGAATCAACTAGCGTGGCGCGCAAACGAGAGCTCAAACAGAGATTTGGTGGTCGCAACTCGTTCTAACTACTAGTAGTAAGCTGTGAGTGGTACTACAGAAGCAACATCTTTGTTTGCTGACTGTACAACTGTGGCTACAATATTTGCTGCTGTGGCTGACTGATCGGGAAGCTGCTGCCTACCGATGCACGTGACCTCGCATCACTTACGCGTACGAGGCACAGACCAGTGGCAACTTGTCTGCCTGGTGTTACCGTGACACTGGCCAGCCTAAAGCCGGTCTAGGCCTGCATCGACGCGCGGGGCCCAAACGAAGGCCCAACAAAGAACAGCCTTCTCAAACTATGAACACCATAAGAACATTCATGTCGCGGACAAGATCGCACCTCGAACTTCGATACTAGACACGCGACCTTGACTCGATACACCCTCCAGCTTCCTCATCACCAGTGCCGCCGGGGCACTACTCGCGCACTGCCTCATCAAAATGGGTCGCGACAGTGAGCCTCAGACCTCACGAGTCCAAAAATCGCCACAAAGCACGTCACGGCGATCGTCTCAACCCAGGCTCGCCAAAGTAGCAAAAAAGACCCGTTTGCGGCGGCCTCGTCCTGTTGAGCCAGGCTCTGTTGTCGACATTATCCGGCAGCACCCTGGCAGTCGGCTCTTCGAACGGATCTTGTGCTGGACAGACCAGCATGCACAGCTCCTCGGCGTCCAGTTCAACAAGCTGCCAAAGTGCGATACTCCTATACCAGTGAATGAGCCTGGCTCACCGCCGCCCAAAGGGCACATGCAGCCTTCGAGAACCATCACGACTCTTAGTGACAAGCTCACGTATATCCTCTCGTACAGGAGTACTGATCCTGATGATTTGTGCGCGACTGTACGCACAATCATGGGCACGCTCTGGCCCGCCACCTTCTGTCGGGTTGTTGGTTTCGGAAAATTGCATCTCTATTTCGGAGACAAAGTTTACCACGACGCTGTCAAAACCCAATGCATTTGGGCATACCCAGGCGGCCATTTTCTACCGTCACAAAGTTCCTTGAGCACCGCGCAGTCAACACAAGAAACAGCTTCACAGTCGGCATCACAGTCGCAACAGTCGTCGACTTCGCGGCAACATCTCCTGACCGACAGTCCTATGGTTTGCTACATGAGCAAAGCGAAGCTAGAGTCGATGCGGACAAAAATGTTTTACATCTTGTCTTGCCCCAACGGCGATCTCAACAAACCCGTTCACAACCTACGCAGACTGTGGGCCAAGGCCCTCGCGCCAAGCAACGCGGACGCGGATGCTCCCATTGCGGGCATCATGCTTGCCATGGCCCAAAGGCATTTCTACGCGAACCAGTGCGGCAGAGAAAAATCTCCAGCCAAGAAAGATAAACCATTCCATGATGTGAGGATGCGCCTCTTGACACACGATTCCGAGACGGCTGAATTCCTTGTCTATACAGGCCACATCACAGCGACCTTTTTGGAGCACTTTCGGCGGCCACACAAGATGCCGTCCGCCACAAAGTTTGACGGGGGCCTCGGCCTGAAGATCGACTACGTGAGGGTCCCCATTTGGCCGATTCTAGGGCTGCGAGAGCGACTCGGGAAGGCGCTCGGCGAGGACCTCGTGGGATCCTTTGATCCGGCGGTCATGGAAACGTGGGAAGAGGATGTCGTCGAGGCACCCACGTCGATCGGCAGCAAGCGGAAACGGAAGGCGCTTGTCGAACTCGTGAATAGAAGCTTCGAGGAGTCGGACGACGAACAGCCCTCTCCCACCCGCGGCAAGAAAAAATGCATACGGCCCGGAATCCAACTGCAAGCCGCGGCCTAGGGGTTCGTTACCTTGACTTGGCTAGCGACGTGGCCACTGCCCAAAGCGGTATGACGGTGATTTACGATTTTTTAATGATTTGATGTAAATGATTTTCTTTTTTGGTGGATGATACTAGAGTATTTCGGTCAATGTGGGTTACACCAACAGTCGGGATCTGACCAGCCTTGCTCGAGTACTTGGGACGCCGAAATTGGCAATGGAATTGGGGCATGAGCATGGATACTTTGTGATAGATCTAATGTCGAAGCAGTCTGGCGTATGATAGTGGCTATTTGATTATTCATGAAATTGTTTCTCACGCGTTTTTTTGACTTGCATTTACACATCAACTCCTTGCTGTTGCGGAACCTGGCATTCTACGAAACGATATCAAGTTACGCGTATAGATAATGATCTAGGGGCATACACTTATTAACGTCCTTGTGATAGATAGTGCAATGGCTTCTGTTTTCATTTGCTGCTTTGTCATCGCCACTAGTCATCGCGAGGGTGCGATCAAACTCACGGCCATCTCATTTCCACTTCATCATCTACCTTGCACTGTATCTGCTTTCTTGAATTCGAAACTCTACCCGCTTCGATGAAGTCTTTGAAGGATACACACATTGTTTTCTCCCGGTGGTTTGCTGCCATCCAGAATGGCGACTGGAACGCTGCGGAGACTTTTCTGGCCAGCGACGTCATGGTCAATGGCAAGAGCTTGACGCGCCATGCCTGCATCCAAAAACTTCAAGACGACAAGTTTGACACGGCGCAGCTCGACATGTGTATAGTCGACGACGAGAGCGCCGAAATTGCGGCGCGCTTCCTGTTTCCTCGCCCGCCGGACCAGACCGAGGCGTGGACGGCGCAGACGCTCTTCACCATCGTCCACGACAAGCTTTCTACAATCCACTCTTTGGCTGGCAGGAACTACTCTGCAGCTCCTCTGTCCAAAACGGAACCGATGGGAAAGAAAGCAGCTCCGGCGCAGGGACTGAATACCTCTGACCTGCGCGCGTTCTACACAGACTACATCGATTCGATCAACACGCACACCATGCGCGGCCATTTCGATGCCGCCTGCCAAGACATGGTCACGCACAACCACGTCGACTACACCCGAGACGAGTATCGAGAAATGATCGAGTCGAGCTTCGACGACATTTCCGGCCTGCGCTTCACCATTGAGCGCCTGGTGGTCAACGAGGAGGCGCAGCAGGTCGCCGCACGCCTGGGCTTCACCGGCGTGCCGATTAGGGAGTTTCGCGGAATCGCTGCGACGGGAAACGCGGTGCGGTTCAGGGAGCATGCGTTTTATCAGCTCGAGCGAGGACAGATTAGACAGGTCTGGTCGCTCCTGGATCTGGCGGCCTACAGAGCGTCGATGGCATCGTAACTGAGAAACGTTGCAGGAGCAGACGCCCCAGAATATATAGCGGCGGTGGCTCGCAACGTCGGGGTGGCTTCAGATCGGATCGGAAAAGGCGATCCAGTGGATGGAGGCGTCGGCGCGGGTGTCGGGCGGGTCGTGGCCTTGTTCTTGGCGACGCCGTGTCTCAAATAGTAGAAGTGCAGCGCCACAGACAGTGCGTTGGCGCTATCACACGACTGAAATGTGAAATGCGTCTCGGATAATGTCATGATGGAAGGCGGGAGCTCTTGTAGTGGTGTGCTTGGTAACGACAAATTCCGGGGCAGAGGCAGAGGCAGAAGAGGCGTCGCTTTTCCTCAGCGACCGAGTGATCATTGATACCGAGCTATAGACACAGCATATATTATCGGCGAAGCAAGGACTATCCATCTTCAATGGCTAAATTTTGCTAAACGAACTTGTCTAGATTTTTGCTTGGTTGAAAGACCTCCTTGTTGGAGTATCGAATTGTCCATGTACAGATTATAGCTACTCAATGGCCGCGACAGATGACACGGAGAATTGCACTTAGAGCATGTAGAGCGTCGTATATAATGAGAAGGCATGTTCGAAAATACAGTGTTCGTCACATGAGCTCAGCTCAGCTGTTTCAGCAAAAACGCGGCCCCCATGGTTTGCATGCCAGCGTCTAAAGCATAGGCCAAGTGCTCTTCTGTGATGAGAGTATCATTGCTAAAAGTGACATCGCAGACAGAATCACCCTGTCGGGAAAAGTTAGCCACTAGTTGGCGCAGCCGTTGGAGGTTTCCAAACATACGAGCGACTTGGAGACCCAGTCTTGGGGAATGCTCTTGCCCTTGTCATAGAAAAGTCCAGTAGTGTCCTTAGTCTTGTCGCCGCCCTGCATATCGACGTTGCAAGCAAGACCAGGCTCGTGTCGCGGGTCGCCAATGAGGAAAACGCCCTTGACAGCGTCAAAGGCGGCGCCGGTGAGCCGCGGCAGGGCATCGACGACGAGTGTGGCGCCCTGGGAGTAGCCCTCGAAGAGCAGGCATTCCGAGGGATTCTGCCCGAGAATTTTGCCCACCTGGCTGATCAACTAGAAGTTTCGGGTTAGTCTTCATGGTTTGACTACCCGAGCGCAACTCAAATCGAGCCGCTTACATCCTCTGTTCCGGACGCGCTGTTTTGGTCCCAATCGGCGGGATACACGACATTGTACTGAGCAAGGTTAATAATGATTTGGCCAATGCAGGTGAAAAAACGTGGCTAGACATACAAGCTTTCCGCCAGTGCGCTCCGCAAACACGTTCTTGTTCATGGTTTGGAAGTCAATGGAGCCACCCTGAGGTTCGACCGTGCCACGCGCGCTGAGGATGGCTTTATTTTTTCGCATTCATTAGCCAAAACTCGATCCCTTCCCAATCGCTTTTCTGGTAGCCCTACTGTAGGAAGAACACAAAGTGTTTGGAGGGGGCGCGCCGCAGGCATCCACGGGGGCGGCGGAAGCGGCGGAAGCCAGGGCCAGCACAGCGACAAGAGAAACAAGCATATTTTGCAAAGAAAGTCGACAAAACTCTACAAGACAAAAACAGTTACAGAAAACTACATAGGTGCCCAAAAACCGGGCGACGGCCCCTTTTGAACAATAGAGGCGCAGCCGAGGTTTGGTCCTCTCAGTCTGCGGGGTAGAGGTGCAAGCACAGGCACAAGGGATCGCTCGCTCTGCTCTGTACGGAGTAGCAGCGAAACAAGTAGCGTGCTATTTACGCTTCGTCGGAGTGGGTTACGTTCACGGCGGTGGGCGAGCCTGTTTCTCGAGCCAAGTAAGTACTTGGAATCGGCGGTGCGGGTTAACCGGTCTGCCAGCGCATCAGGTACAGTGACACCGAGGCCACTCGATATGCAGGGTAAAAACGCCGCCCTGGTTATACCACCGTCTGTACGACGGAAGCATACATACAAGTCACTGCAAGTATGCAGGACGGAGGATTACTGATAGTTGCAGGCATGAATAGAAACTACTGTACATATGGACCACCTCACATGTACTAATGCGGCTCCGGGGTGGTGACTCTCCAAGGTCACCCAACTGAAAAGTCCGACCACATGAGCTGGAGCTGGATTGATGAATTGCCCTCATTCAATCATTGATAGTTAGGCGTGGACTGGTCTTGAGGCGAGCACCGTAGTGTAACCGTGATGAATTATCCGCAGACCTTCGGCGAAGGGCCATTCTGCAGCTCACCATGTCGGGAATTGCCCATGTCGGCAATCTCCACAAACCAAGACACCGTAACACCGTCCCGAGTTCCCGTGCGGTGGCAGCGGCGCGGCGATAAGCACCCATGCTCAGACTGAAGCGTCAGTGCTTGAGAATACTCGACAGCAGCAGCTCAAAGTACTGGTAAACGAGTTAGATTGTGTCTGGGTGGATAATTTGAAGCTCGTTCCTGAACTGTAAAGTACGTACAGTACATACTTAAAGCAGTGCTAAACTCTAGCGAGGTAGCCTGAATGCCACCATGGCTGGGGTTATTCTTTTGCCCTCTTGCCTGTGTAAGCTACATTGGCAGAGGCGGTCGGCGAAGGACACTACAAAGTCGTTGTCAATAAGCCACAACACTTTCATGAACCAGGTACATCACCGAATAACATTACCGGCACGGATAGCCCGACATATTTTATCGGTCTATATGAGGCTGCGCTACTACGCGAATACGGAAAATGCGGTCAAAGGCGGATAGCTGCCTGATGCGCGTGTGACCTGTCGATGGCTAACACTGTTGCTGCGGTGTCGTGGGGTCACACTGAGCAGCAATTATTTTAATCTAGACCGTAATATCGACGTGACTGGTAGCTCAGGGTTCCAATCCTGCCGGAATGGAGTGACGAGAGGAGAACTGGAAAGCCTCATTTGGGGCTATGTATAGGGCAGGCCCCGAAGCAAATCCGAAGCCAAGTGTGGTATTTCTCGTGCGAGGCGAGGGTCGATCAAGTAATGTCAACCTGGAGATTCGTTGCTCAACGCAACATGCCTCACTCTTCAATTGAAGAGAAGATGGTAAAGTAAAAGTACACACTCACGAAAGGCAACCGAAGCCCAACAGCGGAGGTACATAGCATGGCGAGAGCCGCGGCGGGGAACGTGCTGGCCGCCCTTTTGTATCACTATCTTACAAAACATAGGCTGCATAATTTATTTTTAGCTAGGCTGTCACCTGGAGTAATTGTCTGAGGCTATCAGCGCCGAAGGCGGGGACCAAGATAGAGTTGCAAACGCCGGGTGTGTTGGCTGGCACGCGGCCAGCGCTACCTTCCAAATAGCCCTAGGCAGGTAAGCTGTGCACGACTGATGAAAGTCGTAGTACGTTGCGTTAGGGCTCAAAATACATTATTGAAGTATATTCGTCGCTTAACTTTGGACAAATTCTTAGAGCAGAGGGCTGCCCCCGTTGAGTAGGCCATGTCACACCCGCTGCTCGGGGCTGGTCGTCGTCCATCACTCCTACCAGGTTGAAAATAAACCCAAAGAAATCCATTACTGCTTGAAGAAGTGATATAAATTCTACGTAGAGAAGTTCTGAGTGGGAACAGTCTTGTTCGAGTTATTTAATAACAGGGAAGGGGAGGGTATTGGTCGCCCTGCATTGCCTCACACCTTCTCTTTCTCTGTCTTGGGAAAAGAAACAAACCCCAGACTCTAACTATAGTCGAATTTACAAAAGCAAGGTGGTGCGGCTAAAATAATCCAAGGTTCTTAAATAATGCCAGCTATGCCATCACCACTCGCAACGGTCTATCACGTGGTGGTAAAAAACACGTCACTTACCTAGCGAAGGTAAACACCCTTCTTTCTTGACGAACCCCTTTTTTTCTTGAGAAGATACAATCATCGCCAACTGAAGAAGATACCCCGGAAAACGCCCAAACACGACCCGAAACGATGCTCGTAAAACTGTCAACTTTGGCTGCCGCCATCCTGCTCTTGGTATCGGCTACCAAGGCCAACGATGCCGGCCTCCAGAACAGCAGCCTCAAGAGGCCCCCTACCAACAATTTTAATTGCATCAGGCCGGGCCCTCAGGTTCAAGATCCCTCGCGCGGGGCTTGCTGCCTGAACATCGTGCGCCGTCAGGGAAAAGAATGCAAGCCGCTCAACCTTTCTGTACCGTCGCCTCCCCCCCCGATGTGCTAACCAACTCTTCGCAGGTGTACCCTCTGCCGAACTCTCAGCGACCACGAAAGGACAGAACACCTATTCAGCGTGCCCGATCGACCGAGTGGCGGGATGCTGTGACGCGGTGAGTCGAGCCTACCTGTAAACGGCAAAGTTTTGGGAGCGTTGTTACTAACCCGACGAACCGTAAGAAAAAATTGAAATCTACCGCCCTGATGAACCCGAAGTGCAGCTTTCCCTTGAATGTCAATGCAACCCAGGCTTAGAGTAGGGAGTGACGCCCCTTCATTCTTCCATTGCGCCTTTGCCAGGGCGAGTGATGGCTCTGTGTTTGCCCTGAGGGAGAGGTTTCGCGAAGGGCATGTCTCAATATTGTCCTCCATAATGGGAACAAGGACCATGTAGTCTAGAGGGCATGTAAGCTGCCGTCCAGTTATTATGCTCGAAAAGAAATAAACTGCACTCGCTGTTGTTTTGCGTAACTCTCGAGACTCAACAGAACATCTCGGCATGCAGCCTTTCCGAGCCCTGTTATGGCGCACTTCGAAATACAGTATTCGCAGGAATAGAAACTTGCAAAAAAAACCCCCCAAAACAAGCAAGATCAATAACAAGATCAGAGAAAGTGGCGCGATGCAGTTTCGACGCTACAGCGAAGATCACCACCTACCATCAAAACTCCGTGCACCAACGAAATACAGCACCACTCGTGTCAAACTTGCTAAGGGCTTCACGCGGTTCAAAAAAGGTCGATTTGGGCTCATCAATGCATCGAAATCGTTAAAATAGTTTCGCGTAAACTCGTCGAAATGCCAGAGTCGCTTTGTATACCTTCTTAGTGACAAATTAGCCAATCGCTAGCGTCTTAATGCCAGGATGGCCGAGTGGTTAAGGCGGTGGTTTTAAGTTTCTTTTGTACTTATTTCACCACTATCGCGAGATTCCAGGGTTCGAACCCCTGTCCTGGCATCAGATCACCTTTTGCCCCGATACTCTATTTTTCTTCAATCAGTGCATGTCGCCGAGCTTGGATTGATTCGATCCTCAGTTATTGATTTCCCTGCCCTCCGACCTTTTTGACCATTTTTAGCGGGACTCGTCGGGTACCAAGCAGGTACGGCCAGTGCTCGACTAGTACATGCATCCATCACAAGGTCACCATGACGGAAACTGCTTCGCTAGTAGCACAATGATGGAGGGTCAAACGCAAATGTAGTAAATCTCCGAAAAATTCTCAAAGAAACTGATGTTACGTCGACGACCTGGAACCGCTGCCTGAGCCTTCTGGAGCTCTGAGTCTTGTTGCCTCCTCCGTGTACGACTCCATAGCCGCTCACGGGAATACTGATGAGAATTGGGTAAGATCTCGAGAAAGCTCGGACGCGGGCGCAGGCAGAGACACGGCGCTACGACAGGCAGGCTACTTTGTTGACAGCTGCCTATTAAGGCTACTCCGTTGCCGCCTATGCCACAGCTCGCTGTGCAATCCCGCGCAACCGAGCTACGAGCAAGCCAGAGAAAACAATGTTACACAGTATACAAGTTCCAACGCCAGTATTTCACAGAAGAAAGACGCCGATGTCATGTTTCCAGCCCGCTGTCGGGCGTACAGGACCCGGAATCAAGACGGCTGCCCTCGCTCGGCTGACGTGTATGACATATCCTACGATGCATTACGCCTTGATGCCTCCCAGTACCGAACTTTCCTGGATACTCTCAAGTATCTTGTATCAATGGTTTCGACTCAAACTGCGGACTATTGCAAAATTTCCTGCCTAGAGGAGCGTGCATGCCCCATGACCTTCCTCCAGGTGTTGGTCACACTGGCACAGACATGGCCTAAATGGAGATAGGCAGAGAAAGTCCACTATTTAATCGGTCAAACAGGTGGGATCGTTACACACGGCAAAGTAAACTCTAGTTCAAACGCTTTCTGTTGCAATCGCGCACTTCTTGCCCTACTGGCTCGCCGTCGCCAGTTAGGCATGGGCGCGAATTGCAGCCCCCAAGACCACGCAGCACAACGCCAAGCTGTACGGCCTTGAGTATCGTTTTAAAAAAAAGCCTGGAGTCCCATATCTATAGCCACATGCTCACTACCCGTGTCACCTATGGCCTGCTTGTTGCCTGACCTTCACTTGTTCCAGAGCGTCGACAACTCACTTGTTGCAGTGCCTTTTCCTCTGCAAGTCAAAATTGAACATTAATTTCAGGCAACCATAAAGAGCAGGTAGATGTTTCTGCAGAAGCTTTGAAGTTGCTGGCTGGACCGAGAGCATGGCCACCTCACGATCCGAAACAGCGGCCGCGGACTGGGGCGAAGGCACAAAGGCAACTGCATACTGCCGGAGAAGATGACCTTTCTTTTCGAAAAACCCGTCTGCCTTGTCAGAATGTTGTGTTACAGCCATTTCTTGTCTGGGTATAAAATCCCAGGCCTAGGCTGTTGGGAGGGAAGTGTTCTTGCCAGAATATTCACACTCGGATTCAACCAACAACCACTTCGAACCAACAACACCACCAACGGACCGAAATCATGGGCAAGAGATATACAAAGAAAGGGCGTTCTGCGCGCAAGGGTCCTCCTAAGCCTGCAACCATGCCTTTGCATGAGGATGTTGTCATAGACAACAGTCCCTCTGCGAACGGAGCGGCGCCTGTGGGCAATGCCAAGTCTACCGACGACGATGTCATGCCTGTGGAAGAATCTGCGACCATTGAGCAGAGCACGAATGCCTCGCCAGGACCAAGCCGTGAGTTGAATTACCCAAACTACCCCCTCCCTTGCCTAGGAACATGTTCATGGAGATATGGCTTCCTAAGCATGATTGTCTTGCTTGTAAACATGCTTGAGAACAGGACTCGGAAAAGGGAAGCAACAGCCATATGCTAACAGACCTGGACCATATAGATCAGCAACCTCGACCTACAAGATCATCGAGTCGTGAAGTCGATATCCGAGGGCGTGATGCGACCGCCCGCCAGCAGAGTCCAAGCCAGAACAGGCAGCGAGAAAACGGACAAGAGGGAAGCAGCCGACACGAGGCAAACTCCGAGCGAAGCAACTCATCCGAGTTCCACGACCCTGCCATTATCAAAAAAGGCAAGCAAGCTGTTGACAAGCAAGCTGTTGACAAGCAAGCTGTTGACAAGCAAGCTGTTGACAAGCAAGCTGTTGACAAGCAAGTGGCCGAATTGCAACGAAAATTGGCCGACATGGAACGAAAATTGAAATACGCGGAAAGTGAATCGAATAACTTGCGACAACGGCTCGGTTGGTGGCAAGATTGCGCCAAGGCACGGGGAAAACAGCTCCTCGAGAAGAATAGAGTCATCACAGATCAGATCAGCGAAATCGACAGCTTGAAACTCGACCGGGCTGTTTGGCGCGGTGTCCGAGCTCCGGAACATCACCATCATTATTTCCCCGATGGGCAGTGTCGTCGTTTGGTTTTTTTCCCCTGTGGGAAATCCTACGAGTGGGTTTATTTCCCCAATGGCGAATGCCACCATGCGATGGCGTTCCCCGATGGGCGACTCTACCGATGGAAATATCTTCACTATAGCAAATGGCCCCATTGGAGTTCTTCCCATCCCGCTACCAAGTCGAAAGATCGACGCGCTACCGAGTCGAAAGATCGTCCGGCTACCGATGCTAAAGATCATCCCGCTACCGACTCGAGAGCTCATCCCGCTACCGACTCGAGAGCTCATCCCGCTACCGACTCGAAAGACGTCCTCGCTGAAGATCATGATAACCCCCCGGCCGGGGACATGCACACGGATGCCAGTCTCCCACCGGCGGAGCAGAACTACCCGTGGCCTCTAAAAGAGCGTGGCCGCAGCACGTCCATGTAGCTCTGAGCTTCACGCGACGGATGCGCAAGGCCACGCCGCGCAGCCAAGGGCAATCTGCACACGGCAAGCGGCAGACAGGCCTCCTCCATGGGGATCCCGGCACAGGACGTACCGCCTGTTGACACTGCGCAGCACAGCAGAGCCGGGGCCGGAGCCCGCACCCCCAGCGGAAGACAGAGTGATGATGGCCGGCTATGGCCTGCAGAGTCCTAGATTTCAGGACGGACAAACTCGACGCTCTAACTACCAGCATCACTCTTACGGCATCTTTCCCTAGTGATGGACATCACTATCTATTCTTGGAAGTCAGTCTCTCTCTCTATCTGTCGTCAAGCGCCAGATATTTTTGTATCGCTTCGTGTCTCTTTGGGGGGGTTGTTTGGAGTTTTCTTCGTTTTGGTTTGTTTCTGTCCCCTTCACCAAGATTTGTCCGCCGTCGAGCCGCGTACGCTGGTTGTCTATCTGGTCGGCTACATGGAATGAAATGGAAAATGGGGCGAGAATAGAATTATTTATGTGAATTTAGTATTGATTGAGGAAATAACCTGTCGCCTGTGAAGATCTTCAACAACTCGTGTAGGCAAAGTCGCTCGTGCCACCCCTTCACACTTCACAAGAGCATTTCTATCACTCCCTGGCCCTACTACATAGGATGTACTACTATCATCTCCAAATCTATAAAGAAACACACTAATGCAAATATAAAGAATTCACACTGCCGAATTCCGCGTGTTCCACAGCTGATGATGGATAGCGGACGGGTTCGAGCTGCTGCCTGGAAGTTACGGGGTGTCACAAAGCGCCTTGTGCCTGAGGATCATCGAATAACAAAGGGAAAAAATTTCTCTTCCGGCCATGTAATACGATACTAGGCAGCCGGATGTCCCACATATCTGCAGAGTCGCTGTCGTGGGTGATACGTGGCATGAATGGCAGCTTCAAGGCGAACAAGCCCTCCCAGAGAGATCAAAAGCAACCAGGGTTCCAAGTCTTACATGTAGATTGATACAAGTATATAGCAGCCTTCTCAAGTCACGCGTGTGATTCATTCGTGTGACCTGTCACAGCTGACATGGGTTGTCCGAAAACGACTACCAACTGTGAATGGCCCGAATTCATTCCTTAGATGCAAGGGTAGCTGTCATAGTAACACCTGGAACAATCTTATAGTGGATTATTTTTCTGGTATCTCCAGGCTGCAAACTAGACCGCAAGAACTGGCCAATCTAGGCATCCGAAACGAAAACCACGTAGGCGTACGACAAGATGAAGTGGCCGCTGCATGGTGACGACAATTGATGCCTACATGTAGATGACAACCAGGCTATTCTGGTGTCACACCATGATGGACAGCCCCGTTTATCGTCTGGGTATAAAACCTCGCCGTGTCCGAGAGACGGAGAGAGTTCTTGCTCAGACTCCTTCATCCTCTCGAGCTGACATCATCCGAAAGAGAGCGCAACATGGCCCGCATCACTGGACCCAGGGCAAGTCGTGGCGTCCAAATGACGTTCAAGAAAGTCAACGAGTTCACCGACGCAGAATCGTGGTACAACGAGTTCACCGATACAGAATCGTGCTACAACGAGTCCACCGATGCAGAGTCGTGCTACGACGTGAACTCGCCCGCGGACGACGGGGCCTCTTCTGACGCAGAAATGGTAGACGTTGGAAACGAGCCGGCCACTACAGAATGGCAGCGGGTTGACAAACCTGCCGCTTCAAAACGGCAGCGGGTTACCATTTCTTGTGCGGCCTATGACTCGAGTGCCACGGAAAGTGAGTTTGCAAACACAACATCGCAGTCCCTCCCCAAAGGAAACGGCTTACACTTGAGAAAGCTCTACGAAAACGCCGACCTCCTTCGCCTGGCAGCCCCCCGCCGATAAAACATGCATTCATGCGTGCTAATCCGACGCGGATCCAGCTCAACTACCTGGACGCCCCGACCTGCAGCGCAGACGAAGCAGCAAACACAGAGCCAGACCGGCACGCTACTCTGAACAGCAGCGACCGCGCACACGCTTCCATCCCGCCGCCCGCAACACGAGCAACGACGAGCCTGACCCGCCGATCCAAGTAATATCCATCTCTGCCTGTGTCAAGTATGAGGAGAGTGCAAGGGTAAGTCGTCGCTCCCGCCGCCGGCGTCACCCGGAACGTCTTTTGGAGCTGCTCGTCGACATCGAACTCCGCCCGGCGCGGCACTCGCAAGTAGTTTACCGTGGGTTCTCGCGCCGCGAGGAAGCGCTGCTGGGCTTGCATCCTGGCAGCCTGCTTGTACGAGTGTGTTAAAGTGCAGGCGCGGCGAAGCAAGACAGTTGCGTGTACAAGATGGGATGGCAGCTGCCAGTCCAGGGCGAGGTTTCGATGCTCTCAAGGCTGCGATCAGTTCTCTCTGTGCCAGCGCCTGCACCGCCATCTATTTCTGTGCTTCTCTTGCCCAGTCAGTTTTGTCCGAATTCTCCTTGTCGAATGTGTGTTTGTCAGGTTTCGTTTGTTGTAATGTCTTTGTGGCCGTGTCTAATAAAAGCTGCTGCTCGTTGCTTGCCTGCTGGGCCGGATCGAATACACATCAATAAAGTATCAATAAATTAAAAAGAAATCCAAAAAAAATCTTGAATTTCTTCATAAACCTTGTTTGCACTCAGAAACCATGCAAGTCTCAGACCACTTGTAGAAAAGGGCGTGGCGTTTCCGTAGCAGCATCCACCGTCTGCATCTTTACCCTTTACCTTCCCACCGCCGCAAACTTCTGGCACGTCGGGAATGCAGGCTAAAGTTGCCGAACTCGGATGCTGTATGACTGACAACGCATAACGGGCGGGTGCGAGTCGCTGCCTGGAACCTGAGCGGTATTACAAGGCGCCTTGCACATGAGCGAGGTAACACAGCGGAACACTTCCCATCTACTCGACCAGGCAGCTGAAATCCCAAGTGTATTTTGGGGTATGATCCCATTGGTCTACCGCACCGTTGTGGGACACACCTAAGCTGAGGTCTCGGCGACTGCTTCCTCTCGACAAGTTCTCGCCAGAGCACCGCCACCACATCTTCCCAACTTCCCAGAGAGCTTTCTAGCTTGTCGTGTTGCCGTATGGTCTGCATTTGATATCTACACCTACATACACGTCATCAGCCAACACTTTCAGACTCATCCCGACTACGCCTTGACAGCCGCCCGCACCATCGGCACCAAGCTCTTGCTCGTGCGCAGCTCGTCCGGCTGCCGCACGTAGCCCACGCGCGTGTACAAGCCCACGACATCCTCTCCCGCATCCAGATACAGCGGCAGTCCGAAGCCGTCGGCCATCTCATTCGACCACTGCAGCAGCGCCATGCCGTACCCACGGCCGCGCGCCGTCGAGTGCGTCATGATGATTTCCAAGTCTGTCATGGGAGCAGTCAGCCAACCACCCCCGCCCCTGCTTTTAGGGAAAATAAACGTACAAATATGAGGGACATGGCCCATGACAGCCTTGTGCTGCGCCTTCATCTCCCCGAAGAAGGCATCCAGTCTGTCCTTGCTCATGTCCGGCGGCGGTGCGCCCCAAGATTCCTGCCAGGGCCCGTACAGGTCTGCTGCAGCGTCGTTGTCCCGCGCGATATGCAGCAAGCACGCTGCTTTCGCCGCGCCTAGTTTTTGTCAAAAGCCGGTTAGCGGACTCAAGCTGTGGCGGCGGCTTTGGACAAAGACGTTACCAGAGTCGTCGCGAATCACGCCGACGCGGGCTTGCGGACCGGACCGAGACGACGCGGCGCGCTGGATAAAGGTAGCCCAGCCCGTGACGGCGTAGGGCTCGACGAATAAGGGCTCGGGCTGGTTGGCGTCAAAGGCGTTGATCTGCATGGCGCCGAGAGTGGCCGCATCAGCCGCGACGGCATCTTCCACTTTGGACATGGTACTGCTCCTTTCGACCTTTGTTGTTGGTCTGCCGTTTTCTACCGGCTCTTGCTTTTTTTGTATGACTAGGTCTTCTTTCCGGAGCAAGCCAATAGATGGTAGAGTCGCCAGCGCCAAGTCGCAAGTACACTCAGACCCGAAATGCAGAACTAGACAAGAGGTGTTTGGGATAGCACAAGTACGGATGGGTAACGACAAGGGGAGAAATGTTACGGATATTGGTAACTTGTCGTCAGGGCCGATCCCTCGTAAAAACTAGGCGCGCCGTCGGAGGGAGGCCCGACATGGCCTGCCAAGGACCGAGCACCGAACCGACAGCCCACAGCTTCGCACGCAAATGGAAAATGGAGACACTTAGCAGTGGAGGGCAAAAGAAGAAACTCCCATTCGTTGGCTAGGGTTCATGTTCTCAAGAGTGCGGCGTGGCATTGGTTAGAGACCGGCTTCCCCTGCTTCTGTAAGCGGCTTTAACCCAACAGCCGCCTTGGGTAAGCGGCGATTCATGACTCGGCCACGGACATACAGGGCGCGCCACCTTTATCCTAGTTGTACTCGTATCAATACAAGGTACTTCCCTCTGATCTTTGCTTTCTGTAATTCCTCCGTCGGCTGTTATAGCTGCCATGACAATATAATACATTGATGCTCCCGAATTGGCCATAACTAGTGGAGTAACAACAAGTTCCAACTAGCTCCGCTTCGGCATTTGAAGAGAGTAATGACGTCGTCATTCTTGGGTTAAGTTGCTTCATCTTGGCTCCCAAGAGGACTTGCACGTCATCACAACAAGCAATTTTGTGAACTGGATATCATCTTGTATTTTTTACACCACCTGCATCAGCAACCTTTTCACGCCAAATGCACACCCAATGCTATAGTCTACTCATTTCTTGCGGATCCCGTAGTCAGTATCCGTTCGCAGTGAGCCATTCTTTAATGGCGGCAGCATCGCGCTTCTTGTACGCAGCTCTGGCGCTTGACTTGTCCTTGGCCGTCTCCAGAGTGCGGTTATAGCTGCTGACATCCTTGTCCTGGAAAAAGGCGGTAATATCGGCAACGTCAGTGTCTTCAGTAAAACTGCTTAGCGTAGAGCGGATGAAGCGGTCCAAGACGATAGGGTTAGAGAGCTTCTCCAGACAGGTGGCCCAATTCTCCTTCATGTACTGCCACTGAGAGTGGCGGCCCAGCGGGTTGCTGGCAAGATTGGCACCCAGGAAGTGCATATCAGCCGTGTTGTTGTCGCGAGGTGAGGAGTTGAAGTTGAAGGGGATAATCTCCTTCTTGATGATTTCACCGTCGGGAACAAACCCGAGAACCCGAGATATGACAAGCTTGCCATCAACAGACTTGGTGTTGAACCACTCCTTCTTCAAGAAGTCAACGGCGCGGGCGGTATCAGCAACAATACCCGCCTGAAGAACAGGAGAGAGTAGCGAGGGGTGGAGAGTGCTGGCCTCGGGATTCTCAGCCCAAGCGTTGAATCGTTTCAGAGCTTCGGCAAGTGTCCTAAAGCAAATCAGTTACATGTCCATTTACACGAGGGGATTTGCACTTACTCGGGATGACAGCTTGACACAGCGCTCGTCAGAATGTGGGTTCGCGACTGGATGGTGAGATAGGATTCATTATCGGCGGGATCGAAGCCAAGTGCCTTGATACGGTTCTCAATCAGCTTAATAGTGAACTTGTTGAGGCCAGAGCGAATAGTCTCGTCCTGGTTAAAGACACTCTTGACGCCAGAGATGGCATCAAGCACCTGGCTCCAGACCAGAGGGTGGGTCTCGTTGGCAAAGGCACCGAGGAAGGTAAGAAGGCTGGCAGTGCTAGAGTTACCGGCAAATGCCAGTTCAGCAGTGGATCCGATAATGGCCATCTTGTCCACGGGTGCAAGGCGGTCGAGCTGGGTACCGAGCTTAACTAGACGAGATTCGGGGTAGTTGACGCGGAAGAAGCCTGTGGCCCCAGTGTTGAACTTGTAAAAGTCATCGTTGACATCCTTGATGGTCTCTTCCTTGGCGTTCAGCTCAACGGAGGAGATGCCAGCCTCGCCCTTCTTGCCCTCAAGGCCAAGAGGCACCCACCAAGTGGTGGTGTCGTCCTCGGGCTTGACATCACCGCTTGAAAGGAAGCGAGCTTGCTTGACAGAAAGCTGACCCGGCTGCTCGGAAACGGTAATGACGGGGTGGCCAATCTTGCCGATCCAAGGGCCCATGAGCTGATCGACCTTCTTGCCAGAAGCCTCACTGAGGTGAGCCCAGAGGTCAGAGGTCTTGGCATTCTTGTAGGCATTGGCCTTGAGGTAGCTGGAAACACCCTTGAGGAAAGTCTCGACGCCGAGGTGGTTGGCAAGCATGCGAATGCTAGAGCATCCCTTGAGGTAGCTGATGCTGTCGAAAATCTGGTTGACGTCGAGGGCGTCACGGACGGGAACGTGGATGGGGTGACTGGCGCGAAGACCGTCAAGCTTGAAGGCTGTTTCCATGCCTTCGTTGACGAACTGGGCCCAAACCTCCCAGTCAGGGTGGATGTGGTCGACGGCATACCAGCCAACCCAAGTAGCGAACCCTTCGTTGAGCCAGAGCTCATCCCTATAGTGCATTAATTAGTTAGTGTGTCGGCCCGCTTCTGATCTATTGTTTCAACATACCACCAGTCCATAGTAACAAGGTTGCCAAACCACTGGTGAGCCAGTTCGTGGGCAACAACGTAAGCAATGTCATTCTTCAGGCGGGGCGATGAGGTCTTTTCATCGTAAAGAACGCGCTGGAGGCTACGTTAGCAATGTGAACAAACGACTTGGGCTTTCGTTGAGCATACAGTTGTTCTGTAGGTGACGAGACCCCAGTTTTCCATAGCACCGTGAGTGAACTCGTGGACGGCGAGGAGGTCAGACTTCGGTAGGGGGTAGTCAATGTCGAAAATCTCCGAGAAGAAGTCGATGGTCTGAGGGGCGTGCTCGAGAGCCCAGCGGCCCTGCTCCTTGAGACCGCGGGTCGTGTAGACACGGACGGGGAGCTGCTTGCCGTTGTAGCGGCGGTCGGTGAAGGCTTCGACATACTCAAAGTCGCCAACGGCCCAGGCAAGCAGGTAGGAGCTCATACGGGGAGAAGTCTCAAAGGAGACAACCTGCCAGCCGTCGCGGGAAGGTTTAGTCTCCTTGACGGGCATGTTGCTGAGAGCAACCTGGTCGACTGGAACCTCAATCTCGAGGTCGTAGGTCGCCTTAAGATTGGGCTCGTCAAAGCAGGGAAAGGCTCTGCGAGCGTCGCAGGACTCAAATTGGGTGCTGAACATGTAGTGCCACTCGTCGTCGAAGGGAACGGAGGCGGCAGGTGTAGTGCCAGCTACTGGCTTGTACTTGGAGCGGTAGAAGCCAGCCATGTTGTTATTGATGGTGCCCTGGAACTCAATGACAATGGTGGCTTTGCCGGAGACAGGGATCTCCTGGTCAAAGGTGATGGTAGTGCGCTGGGCCTTCTCATCATTGGAGAAGCTTGTAGACTCTCGGCCTTGGGTGGATTTTGTGTGGTCGACCGAAACCTTGGCACGAAACAGCTTGAGCTCGAGAGTGTTGACAACGATCTGGGTAGTGGGCTTGGTGATCTCAGACTCGATGCTGGAGCAAGTCAGAATCGAAGAAACGGGGGTCGCTGTCTTGGAACCGTTGCAATCAGGCATCAGACATCGCGGGGGAGGGGTAGCTACTCACGTTACAGTGCCCTGGTACGTCCAGTTCTTGAACTCGATGTCTTTGATTGACAGAGCATAGTGGTTGGGTTTGACATTGTCCGGGAGAACGTCGCGATCAGACATGGTTTCAGCGTATCGCGCGCGCGAAGCGGCGGAGCAAGATTGAGGTGGTGTACTGTGTAGAAGTCTAGTCGAGACAGCACAGAGGTCAGCAAGGAGCTCCTTGACAATGAAGCTTCTGGGGGAGGAGCACGTCGTGAACAGGACAGCAGCTCAAAGGAAAAGAGGGGGAAACGAGATGAACGGAGGAAAGGGACGCAGTGGAAGGTAGTACAAAAAGAAGAGCCAGATATAACGTAAGAGGTTTTGAGCAAACGACGACCGGCATCATGGGATGGACGGGTTCCGGCGGGGTTGGGCGGTGCGGGGCAGCAAGAATGGAGGGGCAGAGCAGCGGGCCAGCAGGAGGCGACAGAGGGGTTGCACTTGCGGAATAACGTAATGGTGGGGTGCATTTAGGGGATGGCTGAAGTCATCGTAGTTGGGATCCAGTGGATTGTTCTGCAAGACAGCGAGTGTTGAGCGTTCTGGCTGGTTCTGAACAGCAATGTGCAGTGCGTCACCAAGGGCGCTCCAACATGAGGTACCAAGCGTGCTCCAACCTTGCCAACTGCAATGATGAAAGGCACTAGCAAAGGGGTAAGGGGAATAAAAAGAAGAGCAAAAAACAACAACAGTAACAACAGTAACAACAGTAACAACAATAAACTCACCTCGCTGCAATACCACTCCGGGTCGGTCCCGGCAACGGTACCCCTCCCATCCCCGGTCGTTTGCCCGGAAGTGCTGCCGAAGGTACCTGTGGCTGTTGGAGACGCCGCCCGTTCCAGCTAGCTGTGGCCAGCGTCGCCTTGCTTCGGCTTCCGGCCACGGGTGTGTTGGCCGCCTTCTTCAGCGCCCAGCGTCCACCAACAGTGTCACGTGCACAGCACCACTTAGGGCCATAAGCCACCCACCAAGGAGCTAGAGAATACATCATTATCTTACCAAACTCTTATACCTAACAAAATAGTAGTAATATAGGCAGGATCATTAGAGACTATTAAATTTCATTAAATTTAAAGCTCTTATTAATAGTAATATTTATTTTCTTTTTTTCTTTTTTTCTCTTCTACGCCTATAATTAGCTATAGCTAATATACTAGACTATACCCCCCCCCCCCCCCTTAATTTAATCTAAACCATATCTAAACTATATCCCCCCCCTAATACTAGTATTATAAGAGTAGATCTAGCTAAGCTAGTTAACTTAAATACTAGCTAAAATATACTAGCTTTAATAGGCTAAATAGTATATTAATATTAAGTTATTATATATAGAAATAGATAAAGGTTATTTAGCCTATATTATAAGCTAGCTAGCCTATACTATATATATATAAGACTAGATAGATAAATAAGAAGAGACTCCCCTTAACTTAGGTATAGTATATACTATTTTAAAAGCCTAAAGAACTTATATAAATATATATATACTTATAAGAAACTATATAGTCTTTATAAAGTAGCTTATCTATTAAGCCTATATAAAGCTATTCCTAATAAGACCTAAGCTATATTAAAGAGGAGAATAAATATAGTAAGATATATAGGAAAGGTAGGAAGTAGGAGGATAGGAGATATAGACCTAAGTTATTAGCTTATTAGGAGGGTAGGAAAGCTAGGAAGAGGAAGAAAGCCTAGTATATATATTTAGCCTACTAGGTACCTTCCTAATATAAACCCCCTTCCTAATATAGACCTAAACCCCTCTCTATTTAACCCTATTATTAGCCTCCTTCCTAAACTTTATTACCTAGCTTAAAGAGATTAGCTTATTATACTTAGATAGCTATTAAATAAGCTATTAAGTAAGCTATTAAATAAACTAGTAAGTAAATAGCTATTAAATAAGCTATTAAATAAGCTATTAAGTAAACTATTAAGTAAGCTAGATAGAAAGTATACCCCCTCTTAGTAATCCCTTACTATAAGATATTAGTATACTCTTCTTAGTAGCCTTAGTATAGATAGTAGCTATTATAGAACTAACCCTAGTATATTACTATAAGAAGATACTAGTAGTATTTATAGTAGTAATAGTAATAGCTAGTAAGCTTAAGCTAGCTAAGCTTTATAAAAATAATATTAAATTCTTTAATCTAGACCTTTAATACTAAGATAAATAAGGGACTAATTAAGTTATAAAAGCTATTAAGGATCTAATATTTATTTATATTTATATATTTATAAACTAACTTAAGTAATATATTATTAGCTATAGTAAATAGTAAGTTAAGGATATTTAAGTAACCTATTTATATAGTAAAGCTACCTAATAGTATAATAGCTACCTTACTATAGTAGACTAGTAACTACTTTATAATATATCTATAGAGGATATCTATACTAGTCTTATTAAAAGATAGTAAAAGCTAATAGTAAAAGCTACTAGAGACCTAGTAAAGGCTTAATATACTTTAATAGATATATATAATAGCTATAATATTAAAATATATACCCTATAAGTATTAAGAAATATATAAGCTTATAAATTAGGCTAGTAAGTATAGCTTTAAATAGTATATAACTCTTTTAACCTAATAATCTATAGCCTATTACTATTATTAGTACTAAATATTATAGTTTTATAACTTATAATAGTATTATAAGAGTAATAAGATATAATAAGAAATCTTATAAGGTAGAAATAGAATAATATACCTTATATACTATATTTAGATTAGGTAGTATAGTACCTATCTAGGCTATATAATATTTATAGCTAGTCTTATAATAGATAGTAAAGATAGTAATAGTTAAATAGCTATTAGGATAGCTAGTAATCCCTACCCCTAGTATATATATAGTAAGGCTAGGGCTATATATAGTAGCTATAAGATATAAGGAAGGCCTTATAGGTAGCCCCCTCTAGACTATTCTATAATAATATAGGTATCTTACCTTAAGCTATTAGTAGTATATAGAATATAAATAGCTTTAAAAAAAATAGTAATAGCTATAGTAAGTATAAGAATAATATATACCCCCTATATTATACTCCCTATTAGCTATATAACTAAGGAGGATATAATTAAGGTAGTAAGCTATAGTAGATAGTAGGTATATACTAGTAAGATAAGGAAATAAAGGATTAAGGTATAACCTAAGGAGATAACTAATTTATAAATATACTATTAAAGGAGAAAGAATATAGCCTAGTAGATTATTTTAATAATCTATAAGCTATAGTAGTATATACCCTAGCTAAAAAGCTAGAAGAGATTATTAATACCTACTTTATTATTATTATATAAGGTATAACTAAGTATTATATTTATAGCTAAGCCTTTAGTTTTAGTAATAATTTATATAAATATATACTTTTAGCTTATCTAAATATAGCTATTAGCTTAAATAATTAAGATTTTACTTACTTTAATATTCTTTATAATAACCCTCTTATAAGTATATATATTAAATATAATATAGTACTACTAGCTATATATTATATCTTTTAGAATATATTTCCTAGATTATAACTACCCCTATAGATTATTTAAGTAATAGTTATATATAGCCTAATAACTTAAGTACTATAAGGTTTTAGCTAGTTATACCTATACTTCTAGGTCTATCTAGACCTAAATATACTAGGTATACTTTATAATATATATACTAATACTAGCTTTAGCGCTATACTAGTAGATAAGAGATAGCTAGCTAAGAACTATCTTAACTTAACCTTACTTATAAAGGTATAGCTAGTATAACTATATAGTATAGGGTAAGTTTAGTATATAGTAATAAAGTATATTTACTTTCTACTATATCTTTCTAATATATAATAGGATAGTATATTAGCTATAGTATATTAAATAATTAATATAACTATAGTGCCTAAACTAAGAGCTAATATACTACTTAGTATAGATATATTAAGGCTATTATAAATAGATATATTAATTATATAGTAAAAGGTAATCTTATATAGCTATTAGTATATAAATATACTAATAAGTATATAGGCTTAAGTATAATATAGTATAGTAGTAGTTAAAGCTAACTTATATATTATCCTAGTACTAAGAAAGACTATATTAGTACTAGTCTAATATAGTACTACTAAAGGTACTAAATAAGTATAATATATATATAAACCTTAAATAATACCTAGTATTATAGCCTTCTTTACTATAATATAGTAAGATATATACTATATACTAGTATATAATAACTTACTAAAGTATATAAAGCTATATAAATATATAAGGCTTAGGTAGCTATACCCCTTATACTTAAAGGCCTAGGTATATACTATTAAACTATAGTAAGCTAACTTAATAATAGAGCTAGTAGTAGTTAGTAAAATAGAAAATAGTAAGTTTACTATAATACTAGAAGCTCTTAAAATAAATATAATTATATATCTTATTAGTATTAATATCTATTATAGTAGCTTATAATAGTAAAATATAGTTTTATATAGGCTAGTTATAAACTATATAATACTCTTTAAAGATAAAGGTTTTATTATAGTACCCCTAGAGGAATATATATATATATACCTAAAGCTAGGCTAGGAAGAGATACTCTTATATTACTATAAGGTATACCTATAAGGTCTTAAAGAATAGAAGATTATCTAGATAATAGTTAATAATCTTATTACTAAAGATAAGCTAGAATATATATATATATAGGTACTATTTATATTCCCTATCTTTATTATCTAGTAAGGGTAAGGTAATAAGAGGAAAGGGTATATAGTAGTAAATATAAGGCCTCTAAATAAATAGGCCTTAAGTAATATATACCTTATATAATAATAAGATACTATTATAAGTAAGTTAGCCTATACTAAGTATATTATTATTATTAATACTATAGTATTTTACTATTAATAGTAACTATATTTAGACTTAATATAGGCATTTATAATTATTATATATAGAGGCTAATATATATTCTAGGTGCCTATTATAGGCTATAAGAATAATAATACCTATATATAGTAGTATATAGATAAGATTTTAAGATAAACTAAGGGCTTACTATACTATAATAATATCTTTATAAGGTCTACTAGCTTTAAAAAGTACTTATATTATATTTAAGAAGTTTTTTAGGCCTTACTATATAGTAATATATTAATTAGACTATA